GGAGTGTGCAGAAATAGTGAAATTGGTGAAAAAGAAACGACGTCGAAGGAAAAGACGAAAACATTCTAAAGTCATTTTAGAAACTCTAGAAAGCGGAAGGGGACCGAAAACAATACAAAAGATGGAATGCAAAAAGTCAAGAAAGAGCAAATTGAATTAAATAGATGGGAATATAACTTCTGAGAGATCGGAGCTACTAGAAGTATGCGCTGATTTCTACCAGGAACTTTATGGTTCAACGAAAAAAAAACAGAAGGATCATAGAGATATCTCATCCAGAAACTCAAACATACCGCCAGTACTACAAAGAGAAGTTGAGAAAGCTGTAAACAGTATGAAGGACAACAAGGCACTGGGAAATGACGAAATAACAAGTGATATTATCAAACAAGGAGGGGAGGAGACAATATACAGTTACTGACACTGTTCAACCAGATATTGGAAAAGCAACAGATTCCAACCACTTGGAAAGAGGCAAAGATAATTCTTTTATACAAGAAAGGTGACAAAGCTGATGTAAAAAAAAGCTATCGCCCAATCAGCCTTCTACTCATCTGTACAAGATTTTCACCAAAGTAATCCAAAATAGAATCAAAGATATATTGGACACAAATCAACCCAGAGAACAAGCAGGATTTAGAGCTGGATTCTCAACAACAGACCACCTACAATCTATAAATCAACTCATTGAGAAGGCAAATGAGTACCAACTTCAACTATGCCTCGGATTTGTGGACTTCCAGAAGGCGTTCGATTCCATCGAACACACAGACATGTTTGAGGCCCTACGAAAGATTAACATTGAAGAAGGGTATGTGATAATGTGAGCATCCTGGAAGATATTTACACCAACGCAGTAGCCAGAATTCACATTGATAATGATGTATCAAGGGAGGTCAAGATTCAGAGAGGAGTCCGACAAGGAGACACATTATCTCCAAAGATATTCACAGCCACTATAGAGGAAGTATTTAAAAAGTCGCATTTAAATGGAGGAGTAAACATTGATAGAGAAACACTTACTGATCTCCGTTTCGCTGATGATGTGGCCTTGATCTCAACATCAATCAAAGACTTGGAAGACCAGCTGACAAGTCCCAACAGGGAGAGCAAACTTATTGGCTTAACTATGCACAAAGATAAAACTAAATATATGACTAACTATGACACAGATGAAAACATCGAGATAGAAGGTCGAACGCTAGAGAGAGTGAGCAGTGACAAGTATCTGGGACAAAATTGAAAAATGGAAGACACCACAAAAGAAGTTATGATGATAGTAAAAGCAGGATGGATGAACTTTGGAAGATGCAAAGACATGTTGACCGATAAAAACATACCCATGTCACTAAGAAGAAGAATGTTCAACCAATGCATTCTAACAACTATGACATATGGATCAGAAACATGGTCATTCAATTTCAATTTTTCAATTTCATTTATTTCCACAGATTCATAAAAGACAGTATAAATTACAACCAAATATGAAAGCATTACAACAAAAGATGAACCTGCAGAGGGGGTGATCAAAAACCACAGAGGTTTATCGGGGATCATCCCCTGCTTAAAATTACAATATCAAAATACAATAGTGTTTTTTTTTAATTAAACAATAACACATACAAAAACATATATAGATATTACATGCAAATCTATGTGTGGGGTGAGTAGTAGTGGGTTGGTGGTACCAAGAAATACATTGACAAAGGATCTGGAACAGAAGCTTGTGACTACTCAACGAGCTATGGAGAGAAAGATGTCGCATTTATCTCTGCGAGACAAAATCAATCACAAAGCCATACGCCAGAAAACAAAGGTTAAAGACATCATGGAGAAAGTCAGAGAATCAAAGTGGAGATGGGCTGGGCATATAGCAAGACTTCAGGACAATAGATGGACAAATCGTTTAACCCATTCCATACTGGAACCGGGTAGTTCCTGTACTAAGCCTATGGGAATGTGAGAATCAAGCAGTCAATGGGTTAACAGAATGGCAACCAAGGATGGGAGAGAGAAGGTTCAAGGTTCAAGGTTCAAGGTTCATTTAATTTCTTTCTTTCTCAACATTTTTACATATAATAATAGAACAAAAAACAGCATAAGAAAAAACAATTTTAAGTCGATAAATAATCCAAATGAAAGAAAGTGGAGACCTTAGAAAAGCTGGGCTTGTAAGAGCAAGGTCCCCATATAACATAATCCATCAATGTTTCACTTTTAAAAATGTTTCAAAGTTATCAAAACTACACATGATTAAATATGGGGGAAATATTTACAAAAGGGATAGCTTGAAATTTGAAAAGGAGGGGATGAAAGTATATACAAAGGGATCGAGAGGAAAAAAGCAAACTGGAACGTGAAAAAACAACAAAACAAAGAAAAACAGAGAAAGAAGAAAGTTATATGTATAGGGGAAAATGGTATTTGGTGTAAAGAAAAAGAAAAATAGAAGAGAGGATGGGGGAGGAGAGAGAATGTGAAATGCTGACATTTATATTGAAGAGGAAGGCAGAAGAGAAGATGGAGAGATGATATAACATCATACATGGGAACGGACTAGGATAGCTAGAGACAGAAGAGAATGGAATTCATGAGGAGGGCTTTGTCCAACGTCTGGATGAACTATAGCCTGATAGATATATAGCTAGATTTCGCTTTATTCAACTCATTTCCATCTATGTTTTAAAAAAACATTGATACAATATATTCAATAACGAACACCTATGCAAATCTGTATAGAATGAATACATTGCAATAGAGTGTGATCTAACTAAATTTGGCACAGCTGCATGTTCAAAAATCCTACATGGATTTTTTTTTTTTTTTTAAGACAGCTTCCTTTAAAATTAAGACTTGGTACATAAAGATGGTGGAGGCAGTAAATTAATATGAGAATAATTTGCATCTTGTACCAACACAAACTAAAAATACTATTAGAAAGGACAGCTGAAGGAAAGTGAAGGAAAGCAAAGGAAAAACAAGTTTTATCGGTGAAATAAAAAATAATTTAAACTATTGAAATGAATTGCCGGACATCAGTCCAAAATATATCTATTTTTTTCTGACGATGAAGATCACTGATGGAAACAATTGCACAATTTACAGTAACCATCTCATCAATACCACGAAAACATCTTAAGGTATAACAAAACTGAAGAAGTGTTTCAAAAGGACATTAAAAGCATGTACGGTGTGATCTCTCGATACAAGGATTTAATTTATGCTAATTTCGTTTATATTATTGGTGATCTAAATAATACCATAGATACTGCAGTGGTTTGTAATAGGTTTTTACTCAGAATCGAGATTCAAAATGAAATTTCATAGAGATGACGGGGTAGTATAAACTATAAGCTGACATATGATTATGCACCTGAGCGTAGCGATCTAGCAGATTAAATGAAACAAATAGATTTCTGAAAAAATATCAAATTACAAATCTCAAGCTTTTTTCAAGTTACCGATATTGATAGTTATGTATATTCTTTATGTCTGTTGTTTCTGAATAACGAATACATGTATATAATTATCTTACAATTAGACATTTTAAGGTGAACAGTTTACTGATTCACTGGATGCAATGGTATGTGCCTTTCATTCCGGGTTACTGTGTTTTTAAATCACTATACTCAGAAATTAAATTACAGTTATTGCTGAATTTTCAGACAATATCTCATTTTTTTGACTGACAAATGGTATCTGGAAAATGAGAGGAAGAGTATGACATTAAAGATAAACTCCAGTACTGGTAAAAAAAAAAAAAAAAAATTCTCACAGAATCAAACGAAACTTACACTGAATGTTCAAGATTACAAATAAATGACATGTGCCAAACAATTTTGGAAGAAAATGTATACTGGCTGAGTAATAAGCATAGAAAGACAAGGAAATCAAGGTAGTACTAGCCCCGACACGATGTGTGTTGTCCCATATATAGCTTTCTATGTGAGTGCTTGTTACTTTACCAAGACTCGGTCAAATTTATTATGATTTTGATGACTCCAGAACCTTGCAGTGCACACCAATACTTATATGCTACATGATCAACTGTTTCTGATCCTTTCACACGTTTTCTTTCACAATGCAATCGCATTACCAGTACTAAAGTTTATCTTTAATGCTACTGGTGTTGCTAGTGATGATTATGATGGTGATGATGATGATGGTGGTGATGATGAAAATGATGATAAAGATGATAATAATAATAATAATAATATTTAATTTTTATATAGCGCTTAATACAAATGTCTCTAAGCGCTTTACAAAATATACTATGATAGTGATAATGATGCTGGCGGTGATGAAAATAATGCAGATAATGTAACAATATAATTAGTTGTGATGGCTGTGATGATTATGATGATTATTAATTGCACCTACACATTTCAAAACAATCCCACACAATTCATCCTTGTCAATAGCCCCAAACTTTCTAGAAATGCAAGTTGGCAGAAGATGATCCCAGTGCAAGTGCTGAGATTGAAAATTTATTGCAAGAGTAGTGGTGAAAGCACATTCTACAAAACATTACATTACAATCTACGACATTCACAGAGGATAAAGCCTGTTTTGTGTGATCATTTCACTAGCTGCCAGAACTTGAAAGAAACCAGGCAATGTGCTATATGTGATCAATATTATGGTGCAAGTACTTTAAATTAATTTAATAGGGTATTCCACCAATGCATGATGAATAGCTTCAGAAAGGTCAAGTAAAGTTTGAAATAAACCGCAAGAGATAACTGAAAGACTTGATGGCTCCCACAATAAATATTCATCAGGGCTCAGTCTTATAAAAAGTTGTGATTAATATGCATCTTTCTTGTGAGTGATATCAATCGCAACTATGTACATACGGCATAGGGGACTGCAAACTTGCGATTGATTAGAGGACTTGCGATTGATTCAATTCAATCACAACCAAGTTTCACACACACAAAAAAAAAGAATCTGTAGAAGACACACTACTGTACAAACAATAACAGCTTCCCAAATACCACTTTAGGTTCATGAACTTATACCAAAGTTTTATTATACAAATATACAAATATTTACACAAATATTTCAAAAAACATAAATGAGTCAAATCCACCCATTATAGATCAACAAGTTTGTATGACTAGGTATAATATAAATATATATGTTTACATATATAAGGAAAATTTGGGCAAAGAGGTATTACAGATTTGGTTTTGCCGCAAGGAAGGGGGGTAGTCAGGCCCCCTGTGCTACCACCCACCCCCACCCCCCTGGTCCCCTACTGGACAAAAATTTGCAAAAAATTGGAGCTCTTGCCTCAAGTTAGCTCTTAACATAATTTTCACAAGAAATGGAAAAGTAACAATATTGGTGTATTTGTTGATAACTCATCTTGATGGAATGTGTAAAAGTGTCTATTTTATGCAGAAATTTACATATTCTGTTAAAATTTCACATTTTGATCACTGATAAGTACACCTTCTTTTGAAGGTTATTAGAAACTTTCTAAAGACAAAACATAAACCAAACCGAGGAAAATTCAACTACAGAATATTCCAAGGATTGGATACTTCCCTTCAAATCCAATTCTAGTGATTACAACTGATACCAAAAAAATTATGGACTGTATAAAACACTATGGATATACATACATGTATATCATTAAAACAAGATATATGAATCTAAAATGTATAGCATAATTTGTCCTTGTTTTCACGAAGTGACGGTAGTGAGGAAAATTGTAACGCAAAGTGAATGCAATTTTTTTTCGCTACCGTCACTTCGTGAAAACAGCGACGAATTATGCTCAATGCAGAGGTTTGCTTTAAATTTACATCAAAGGACAAATTCTATGGTTTTTCCCCTTTCACACTGCAGTATGTATTTGATTACTTGTAGTATTGTTAAGGTTATCAACATATGAATAGTGTTTTTAAATGGAAAAGTTGTTTCGTTTAATTTGCAGCTACATTACACATTTCGACTGCTGACCAAAGTCTTACAAGACTGAAATAGAAGAATACTCTAATTTATTGACAGAATTAATCTCGAACCAATTCCAGGTTATATGAAATAAATGACGAGCTTAAACAAAAGATAGGATAGAGTGGTTAAACACCTCTTCTTTTCTTCATGAAAAAAGGATTTACCAGTAAACTTTGTTTTAATGCTTGGATATCAAATTTTCCTTTACCTTTTTAACCTTTTGAATCACTAAAAATAATAACGAATACTTAAAAATTATACCTTGAATCACATTTACAGTTTTCACAGAATACCCGTAGCCATTAATAATTCATCCAAAGATGTTCATATTGTATTTTAATTTTCTACCATAATCTTAATCAATTCGAAATTACAGAGGTATGTTGAAAGTTTATCGTCATTGTATTTATTTGCAAGATATGTACGTACATACTACAGTGTATCTTTTTGATCTAAGTCCTTGTAAGAAAAAAATCCTAATTTATTTGTTACGACTGTAAAGACGTTTTGAATCAATAAATCATGACAAATCAACTCAAAGCTCTGTTAGATCAGTGTATTATTTTAGTATTAGTTTCAATCCAAGCAAAAGTTGTGAATATGAAGGGAATGCAGCTAGGTCAGACAAACTTTACCCGATATAAGAAACACCCCTTAGTGGTCAGCATTACATGACTTTATCTTCCTCCTCTTCCTTATCATCATCACCACTTTTCCATTTATGTAGTTTATCTTCATCTTTCTATCTTCACAAGTTATCACTAAACACATATACCTGCCAACATTTGAAAATAAGAATTAGGAATTTTTAGCGCAGTATGCAATCAAAAATAAGAAATTGCACTTGCAGCGGAAGTGTTAGTGGCAATACGTGGTAAATCTGTACCAAAAAGTGATTAAAAATCCGCTGCTCTATCATGCAGCCATTTAACGCACGCAATACGTAAACTCTCAAATCGCGGCACATGATAAAACGAGCTTAATTTGGCTTTAGCACCAACAACAACAAAAAAAAAAATCTGAATATTCTGGATTATTCTTCACTTTCCTCACCATCACTAAAATTATTATATTCATCCTCCCACTATTTATCCTACTGCATCATCCCATCATCACTACAGATTATCACTCACCATCTTACTCCTCCTCCTCCTCATAATCATCCTCATTCTCACAACCATCATTCACCAAAAAGCAGTAGAAGCATTCTCCTTCCCATCATCATGCCCCTTATCATAATCATCTTTATTATTGGTAAAATGTCATCCTCGTCATGGCTAAATCTATCTTCTTTATCTTTATCTTGCTAGTACCACTATGAGTCATCACTAGACATGTCTTCTTCTTGTTCATCGTCATCTTCTTCTTGTTCATCGTCATCATCATTATCATCATCATCACCATCATCATCATCACCATCATCATCATCATCACCATCATCATCATCATCATCATCCTCATTTTCATCCTCATCCTCATCATTACTGGACTTATCTTCTCCGTCTTCATCTTCCTCTTCACTGTTTTCACCTTCACTGTTTTCACCATCACTTTTTTCTTCTTCATCTTCACTTTGGTTTTCCTCCTTTACATCATCACTGGAAAGAGCCTCATAATCTCTGGACTCAAAATCCTCCTTCCTGGGCTTAACTTTTTTGATTGAACGTTTCCCTGATGCGGGCCCCTCATCATACTCCTTAATCAATGTCAACAGGTGTTTCTTCATACCCACCATCTCATGTTTTGTAAAGTCTTGATCAAACGACTTGCTCATCAGGGAAGGGATGCAACGTCCTCGAGTTTCCTTGAACAGTTCATCGTCACTGAACTTCTTCTGGAACTCTGCCACATCCCCTTTGAAGAGCGCGTATCGGTTGGGTACGGGAAGACTGGTGTCGCCATCATTACCGGTTCCATGATCTTTGTCGAGCTTCCGTTTCTTGGTGAGGGGATCTCCTGCTGCTTTCACAGTGTCCTCCTCATCATCTTCTTCATCTCCTTTGGGTTTTTTCTTGAATAACGCGGCTGCCTCCTTGCTTCGCTTACTAGATCCTGCTCCAACAAGAACAAGAAATGAAAAGCTAGACTCATTATGTATCGTTCTCAAGTTATGTACAAATTGTTAAAATGTTGAGATACATATTGCAAGCAGTGTTGCATAATTTGCATTTTGAGATGATCTCTTTCTATTTTGAAATGTAACTGAGCATTCATTGTGGATTGCTGTTCATCTCACCCATGGTTTGGCCAGGTTCACAAAGGACACATTCATCATAATCTGTGATTTTAGACCCTTTCTGGTATAATATGATATGTCCTTGGAAATAGATAGATAGAATGGCTTTGGAGTTCATTGCCCCCAAACTCGTACCATGTAAAAGAATATATTTTCTGTAATTTTGTTAAAGACCAAAGTAGATATTTCTCCAGTCTAAAAAAAAGTGACATTTACCATTAAGAGGAATTCATGTTTTGTTAGGAATAACTCACAAATTTAAGACTAAATTCTTTTCTACCCCACCCACACATTACTTGACATGTTTTGTTGCTGTTGTTGTTTTGTGTTTTTTACCCGTGATCTGGAGGTCCATAGAAAAGTTCTTCCCTGCCCCGCCATCAAAGTTCATGGTCCTATTGTGAATCACTTCCTGCCTGACGCGAGGTTCATAACAACCAGATATACCTGTAGATAAATTACAATGATAACAAAAATAACAATAGGCAACTGGTTGAAAAATACATGTTAAGGATAATAATAAAGTAAAGAATATATTCTATTGATCCTCCAGAGAATCAATCTTGTCATTATCATCAGGATTCCTCCAGTATCACTTCACCTCACTTATGTGACAAACTCATGTAATGTCAATTTTGTTGTACCGGTACTTTTTTTTGTCCATCTTTTTGAAGACTGTATGCTTTTTAACAGCCTGGAGTCATATGCAGGAGCTGTTGATGTCTTATCAATCTCATTCAGCTCTCTGCCACCAAGAGGATTTTAGAGAATACATGTACCATTTCAATGTCTGGGGGATCCACTGGGGGATCCACAAACCTCAAGCACTGCTTTTTAGTGGATCTCCCCATTTCCTCAGAAATTAAGAATTTCTTGTAATAATTGTATTATGTGCAAAGCTTATTTGTATAGTTTCCTGAAAAAATGAATTATGTATGAAAAAAATGTAATATCTTTGTTTACCTTTCTGTTAGAAATTAAATAAATTAAATAAATATGAAATTGAATCTTTTAAAATGCCTGAAGGGTTTTATCCGGATAATTTGTTAGAGGTCGGTTGGAAATCTTTACAGACTCTTTGTAGACAGTTCTGAAGGAGCAATCAGCACCTGGAATGCGTTTTAGTCCAGGATGAAGCTTAAAAATTTGAACCTGGTTCTTGTGTTTCATGCAATTCAACTTAAAGGGATCCGGTAACTTTGTCTTAGATCCTTTAAAAAAATTCTTGATTAAGCTAATGCTGCAGTGATAATTATAAACCTTTAGGTCAATCAGAAACCCCACAAATTTTACAAGCCGAGCGCCTGTCTGATTATCATGATATTTATGATTAAAAATCAAAATCAAATTTTGTGTTTGCAAAACAGTTTTCATAACACTACAGTCAATTGGGGAAAACGGGTATGGTAAAACCGGTCACTCAAAGGTTTTTACTTTTTTGAGGCACTTCTTGACCATTTTGAATCATAAATTTGTTTAGGGCTTCAATATAACACCATATCACAGACACTGATAACATGTAGGGCCGTGCATCTCAGATTTAACATTGTTAAACGATCCCTTTAATCATGAATCTGTTAAATTTATTTTATTTTCATCATTACTGCAAGCAAACAAAAATAATTTTCTGAATAGTTTATGCAGCCTTTAGGTACAAAAACACTCAAACGCTAGTATCGCTTTACCCGCAAGAAGTCGCTGCGCAACAAGGAAGAACATTGCATGGCCTCTCTTATAGAGCTCCGGCATGTAGATTCTCCAGTACCCCATCAGAGCTTCTCCATCGCCTTCTCTCTCTGCATCCCTCATGCATTCATTGAAGAGACATCGCCAGGTGACCGCCTCCAGGTACCTCAGCTCCCTGTCCTCATCAACATTCTTACCCTTCCGACATTGTGCAGAGCAATACCATTTTTTCTGACCTGAAGGATGATAAGAGACAATGTTTATGATTACTTTTTGACTAGTAAGCCTCTGTTTTCCACCAAATAACTGTTAACGTATGTTAACCAGTTTAGTGTATCTGTTTTTCATTTTATTTTGATTATATTTATAGATATATACAGTCAAACCCGTCTGTAGCGACTGCCCAAGGGAAACATAAAAAGTGGTCGTTGTAGACAGGTTCCTTTAGTACATGTTTCAATGAGAAACCATTTTCAAGGGAAACAAAAAATGTGGTCTTTGTAGACAGGGGGTCTCTAAAGCAGGTTAGACAAATCTTCACAATTGACCATAAAACATTAAATTGTTCTTCATAAGGTAAATTATTTACATATCAAATGGAAATTTCTTTGTCACGAATCTGTGAAAGTGTTTAGAAGCAATTTCATGAGATGCATCCCAAACTATAGAAGTCTTTTATCCATTCGGTTCGTCCAAACATGATGAATTTCTTTGATATGACCATTGACTGATGGAAGTAAAGACAGAAACCTATTACGCCATGGTCACATCAAGTGTTTTTTTCTTTAATATGGTTTCTACAAGCAATCACTTCTCCGGGGTTGAGAGTGGCAAATATATATACTACTGTCTTGTGATATAGATACTAGTGACATGACTGAACCCCATACCCTGTGATCCACAATCTGGGGACCTATCCACTAGACCACGGTTCAAGTAAATGAACTGCCGCTCATGATAATAATAATAAATAATAATAAAAACGTTAGTTATATTTTATAAAGCGCTTACCACCGAAGTCTCTAAGCGCTATAACAAACAAAAATAGACTGATAAACAATTACATTTTAAACAAAACAAAAAAGTGCAAATAAACCAACAAATTACAATACATATACATCAAAGTGAACAGAGTTAATTAATCAGCGAAAGCAATTTTAAATAAATGTGTATTAATGTGATTAGTTTGAACCCTGCTCCCTTCCTTGACATCTCCCCTCACCTCGGTTAGGGATGTCCATTTGTTCGGGAGCTGGCAAAGTAGATCTCACGCAACCATGGTGGAACTTTCTCCCGCGTTTGCACCTCTTGTTGGCACAGGTCCAGACCAGCTCCTCCTCTGTCTTCATCCTACACACGCAGTACTGTCCACCGCGCAACGATTGACATGTGGGGCTACAGTACCAGTCATCGCTCACCTGTGGATTGGAGACACACAGCTCATGGAACCAGTTCCCATTCGGGCAGTTGATGTTGCTGCACTCCAGCATGCGTTCGCCTTCCTTTACTGCCAATGAAGGGAGATGATGGGAAAAGTTTATCTTTGATGATAAATGTCCTTTAGCCTGGACTTATTTGGAGCTGAGACAAAAGATTATACATGATATAAGGTTTTGTCCTATAATAAACTACAGTTTTTCACAGATATGTGCTAATCGAGCTTCCCTCATGGTTCTTTTTCATTAAAAGGACATACAAAAAATATCTTCAAATAATTATACTCTGTATCTGACGTTATTTCTAATACATGTATTTGATGAAACAAAATGAAAATGACATAACCCTGATCATAGCAATAAAAGCCTCCTGCAAATTGCAGAACATTACTTTTCAACAATCTAGTTAAAGTTTACCTCAAATTGTGTAAATACATGTACGGTTTATGTAAATACCAAAAAATACAGCACATAATTTAGATTTTTTTTTTCAATTTCTGATAAAAGTGATAAACAGAGACTGACTGGATCTTTATTTTTGAGAGATAGTTCATACGGTACCTTCTTTGCAAAAGCAGAATTTGTAATCGGATCCCTCGTTACTTCCGACCTCGGCGTTGGCGATGTCAGCTACTTGGTTCATGGGCATCTGATGCCACACCCTCCTTACGACCTCGGCTGACACCCTGGTCAAGAGAGTCTCTGGCTCCCCGTCACTCATTTCATCTTCATTGCTAACCAGCATCTCAAGGGCGAAACCAACAACCATAGCACAGCACACAAACTGGAAGAAAAAGGAGCAGTGATATAATGGTATGCAAGCAATGTGATTATCTAAATTCAAAATATGTAGTTTTTAAAAATCTATTAATTAATTTAGCTTCTTATGTTTTATATACTCAAAAAGAAAACAAACATATTCAACATTTTTTTATAGGAAATATTATGGAGGGCAAATGTTGAAAAGTATCGCCTCTGGAAAAAAATGTTGATTATGTTTTTAGAAACTAGATGGAACTTCGACTGCGCGCAGTCGAAAATGATGCCTCCGTCATAGAGCAATTTTACATACCAAAACAGAAGAAATTTTTCAAATTCAAGTTCAATTGTAATCCATTAAGAGGTTCTCAGAATATCGTGATTACAAGCAATTTCTCATATACATATATGACCCTTTGATCTTTGACCTGATGACCCTAAAATCTACTCAGTTCATTGGCTCTGCAAGATGTCCTGAGTTAAATAGTAATCCATCTGTCAGTTCTAATGAGAATGCGTTCACAAGTTATTTTTGGATACATAATGAGCCCATGACCTTTGACCTCATGACCCATGAATCTACTCAGTTCATTGGCTCTGCAAGATACATACATGATCGAAATTTGGCAGGAATCCATCAATCTGTTCTAATGAGAATGCGATCACAAGCTATTTTTGCATACATAATGAGCCCTGTGACCTTTGACCTTTGACCTCGTGACCCCAAAATCTATTCAGTTCATCGGCTCTGCAAGATACATACATGACCAAAGTTTGGCAGGAATCCATCGATCGGTTCTTGAGATAATGCGATCACGAGCTCTTTTTGCATACCTAATGAGCCCTGTGACCTGTGACCTTTGACCTTGTGACCCCAAAATCTAATCAGTTCATCGGCTCTGCAAGATACATACAAGACCAAAGTTTGGCAGGAATCCATCAATCGGTTCTTCAGATAACGCGATCACGAGCTGTTTTTGCATACATAATGAGCCCTGTGACCTTTGACCTTTGACCTCGTGACCCCAAAATCTAATCAGTTCATCGGCTCTGCAAGTAACATACATGACCAAAGTTTGGCAGGAATCCATCAATCGGTTCTTCAGATAACGCGATCACGAGAACGGGACGTACGGACGGACGGACGGACGTACGGACGTACGGACGTACGGACGGACGGACGGACGGACAACCCGAAAACATAATGCCTCCGGCTACTTCGTAACGGAGGCATAAAAAAGTATTACTAATTTTGTGATATAAGTATAGTTCATGTGTTTTTCTTTGTAATCAATATAATAATGTGTTTCTGCAAGATACATACTTGTTATGAGTTTGATGGTAATCCGCTGTTTTCGCATTCACAATGAGCCTTATGAGCTATGACCTTGTAACCCCAAAATCTACTCAGTTCATTGGCTTAGCAAGATACATACATGACCCAAGTTTGGCGGGAATCCCATCAATCAGAACGGGACGTACTGAAGGACAAACCAAAAAACATAATGCCTCCCTCCAGCTTCTTCGTTGCAGAGGCATAAAAATCATTTACCATTAACCTTAGGCTACTTTCAGCCCTTTTTAAAGACCAGTTATGGAAACGCCCCCCTCTCAAAAATTGAAATGGAAGCTCTTATTACCAATCATGTGAAAGAATATGTTTTGAATAATACATGATAACAATTATGCAGGGAAACCGCCTACTAATTGATATATTTGGTAAATTAGTTTATCTCTTGGGACCAAATAGATAATACACATGTGTCGCGCATGTGTGCGTAGTCCCATATACATCTTTCTCTTTCTGTGTACAGTGCTTGTAACTTTACGAAGACTGGGCCAAATTTCTTATCATTTTGATGATTCCAGAACCTTGCAGTACACACCAATACTTATATGCTAGATGATCAATCTTTTCTGATCGATTCCACAACGTTTCTTTTACAATGCAATCGCATGACCAGAACTGGTCTTTATCTTTAAGGCTCTTTTCTTTCAATACTCTTGATTCATACCAGTAAGAAGTCATCAAGACTATGGGGAGGAGAGTACTTGTCCTTGATGCCATCATAACCAAACATATGTATCAGATTCCGTAGGGTGGCTCTCTCCGTCGGGCTCGTTGGAGCGTACAGGTCTGCCATGATGTCCTGCAATTCATGGAAAGTTTGAAACTTAAAATTTGCATACCTATGTACCTGCATGTGGTGGAACTGGGGAATGGGTTGGGTTTGGGTCTTTAAATTAACCTCTCTTATTGTTATATTAAACCTCTACCACCCACACCCCCCCCCCCCCCCCTTCCCCATGTCAGCTATATACAATAGAATGTCAAATCTCATTTTTCATAATTGTAGGTTGCCTTACTCTAGTAACAAAGAAACTCGACTTAAAGACACATAAAAGTTGAGTCTCATGGGGAATGTGCCAATCACCTGGATTAGCCTTCAGTTTCACGACCAACAAACTTTATGTTCTGTCTTTATCCCCACATGGTAAAGTGCTTATCTGCTATTTGCTCCACCCGAAGACTCTCCGAGAGAAGAAGGGGTATTTGTAGTGTGGACTATGAGTTTGCCATGTGCAGACTTGTACACTCATTAATGGTATTTCCATCAAGTCTGGTGTCAGCAAATTATGACCTTCTGCACATGGAAACTGCAGACCCACCAACTTTAACATGTTGTATTGGTTTGAATTCATTATCTCAATTATCATGATCACCATCACCATCACAATCATCATCCCCCTCATCTTCTTCATCATCATCCCCCTCAGCATCTTTATAATCACCATCCTCATCATCTGTATCACCATTATCATCATTCATCATCATCTCCATCATCATAACAATCCATCATTATCAATACGATCATCATCATCATCATCATCATCATCATTATCATAATCCATCATCATCATCATCAATAATTCATTTAATCCTGGTTGTCTTACCCTCATGAAGAGGGATCTCAAGTTGCTATCTTGCGGTACCGGTATGAATGCCTGCCTGGCGGTGCCTTTCGTTGAGGAAACCTGGGCTGTACTGGCGTGCTTTACCATCTCTTCATGTCCGTACAGTACGATAGGATAGCCCTTAGGGGCATGATCCTCCAGTTGCTGAAACAGGTCTGAGGTTTGGTCGGATGTAATATGGTTACCCTCAATGATGCCAAGATCAACCTGCGAAGAAAAAAAATAAATTTAGATGATATTGATGATTGTTCGTTCGTTCGTGTCTCCTTAGATCAAGATTAATGTACAGTTCCTTAATTAAATTAAATTAATGATGATGATGACAATGATGATGGCACTATGGCAGTGTTACCATTGCATCTGCTTATGTTCATTACTTGAGAAGTTTTATGCATTGCACCACAGACATTATTACAATGAATGCTGAAAAAAGAAATACCATGAAGGTTTTTCTGTTTATTTTGTTTTGGCTTGTATTGTAACTTCTTAGATGGATGAGGGCCATATCAATGAATAAATGTATGGACCAACAAAATGGATCTTCCACTGCAAGCAGTCCAAAATGATCGATGCCTCCAGCCCCCATAGAGCGATTTAACAAACCAAAACAGAAGCAATTTTTAAATTTTAAGTTCGACTGTAATCCATTAACAGGTTCGAAGATGCTATTTTTCATACATGTATGACCCTTAGATCTATTCAGGTCATTGGCTCTGCAAGATACAAACATGTCGCGATTTTGATGGTAATCTGTTCTAATGATAATGCAATCACAAGCTATTTGCGCATACATAATGAGCCCAATGACCTTTGATGTCAAGACCCTAAAATCTATTCAGTTCACTGGCTCTGCAGGATACATACATGACATAGGTATGGCGGGAATCCATCAATAGGTTCTTGAGATAACGTGATCACGAGAACGGGACGTACGGACGGACGGACACCCCAAAAACATAATGCCTCCTGCCTTTAGATTTTAGATTACCCCATGATCGTAACATGATGGCAGCCCTGCTACAGCGTAAATCAGAATGAATAACAAGGGAAATGACACTCCCCATGTGAACTTATGGTTACTTGACCTTATTCTTGTCAATGTGCAGTACAGCAAATGACCAAACTCCTTGGACTTGCTAATATGTGAAGCACTTACATATTCACTTTGTTCGGCGCATTGCGAGGAGTACTCGTGAGGTATGTGTCCAGTCACAGGCTGATTAGCAAACAAGGAGAGATTAGCTTGAAGAATCCTTTCCACCATCACCTGCATCAGTGAAAATACAAACAGGTGCTGTTACATAGAGAAAGCTTCAACAGAGCTCAAGGGGGAAAAAGTGCCTGAGAAAATCCTTTCCAACATCGAGGCGCGATAGCAGTGGTCTCATAATTCGGTGACCCGTGTTCGAAACCAAGACGATGCGCTAGTGCGCTTTGGTAAGGCATTAATCCTCATTACCAGGTACCTCGGAGAGGACCCAAAGTCGTCGGCCGTCTGGTTGCTTACTTACAAGCATTTATGCTTTCTTAGCAGTCAGGTAATATATCCACCATCACAAAAAAATAAAAATAAGAATATTGAAGAGCTATGGTAGACATCAATAAGATGAAAACTGGTAGAGGTGTTACATGTATAGTCGACAGGTTTACACACTCGACCGAGAACGCAAAGGCACAGCACAGGTGTCCTTGAGGCAAGCGTTTTATTCACATTGCTTCCCTTCACCCAGGTTTTAACTGGTATACCCCAAAGGAAGTGAGCATCACTATATGCACGTACATGCCTTTAAACAGGTGACTGGCATGAATTAATGCTCCCTTATGGAAAGGAGAGTTTACAGTGAAGTATAGGAACGTAATAATACAGCAGTTATTATGCGCAGTCGATCTAATAAACTATTCTGAGGTGCAGAGGGATAGAATTAGAATGAGATACATAGAAAAAATGAGAAGGGGGGGGGAGAAAAGAAAAGAAGAAAAAATGCATAGATGTACATTCAACATATAATTAACTAAAATAACATGCAAATATATATGACTTTAGATTCTTTTTAAATGTTTCTAGGGATTCTAGTGATCGGATCGGATCGGATCAAATTGAATTGAATTTAGAAACCGGGATAATATTAGAAGGTGCCCTGATCAATAGCTGGTCACTGGTAAGGTACGAAATAAAAAAGCCAAGAAATAAAATGTACTTTTTAATGTTTACATACATGTATAGCATGTAGCTGCATGCCAGTACTCAATGATATCTCATTATGATACAATTTTTTTATATACAACTGATGTGATGAAATTTCACTAGTTCTAGATCCCAAATCCATTTTTTCCTCTTTTTTCATTTCCCCCCCCCCCCCATTTTTTTTTTTTAATGTTTTATTGTAAAACAGCATCTGAGGAACTAACACTTCGACAAGCAGAAGCTCCGCTTCAAGTTAGTTCCTCTTTTCTCGTGCTTTTTCCATTATATTTGTCATTTCATTGCATACTTGTGATATAATCATACTAAAGCGGCTTCCATGAACAGCATCAAAATAAGTGTTTCTGACACTTACCTGCATCCTCATCCGTAGCTCCTCATAATCACCTTGATTGGGGAGGTAGACGGTGAGAGGGAGCTCACAGGCTTTCTTAGGAGCCTCTTCTTGGAGGTCGCGAAAGGAGATCCTGTTCTTGACGGCGACTCCATTGCTGACCAGTCTTGACTGCCTGCCCGGTTTCGGCTGGGTGCTTCTGGCATTGCTTTCGTACTTGTCATAGCGCTTCCTGACCATGAGCGAAAAGCCAGGGTCTTCAAAAGGAGATCAAATGAGAGAGGCGATGTGCCGTCAACATAATTATTACTGTTAGAGAGGAGGGTAAGTTCCGGAGAAGAAAAAAAAATTGTTGAGTTTAGAAATGCCACTGGAAGCATCATTTTTCTTTATCACTATGTAAAGGTGCGTATCGTCAGCATACATCATCTGCATGACGTCATCATGAACGTGGATGACCTACATGTAACTGAGCAAACCCATGGACATCAAAAAGAGCAGAGGTCCTAGAATAGATCCTTGGGGAACACCCCGGGGGTGTGGGAATGCCTAAGAAGGAACAATAAGCAGATGAATTTATGACTTTGTTTGTGCTTTGAAAAAAAGGTATAACTAGCTGTTCATCCATTTGGTAAAGTCAATACTTACGCAGATTGTCCCTTGTATCACCTTTAGACCAGTTCTTTTCTTTCTGTAAGGAGAGATAAGACAAAAGGTGAAATATGGTAATATTATGCCTTATGCCACCTCCACTACACAAACCATTCAGGTCTATCTCAAATCCCCATAGAACAAACATTTACCTGACTTTCCAGTGCGAAAGATTTTCATCTTATATTGGACTGACTGTAACTAGTTACATGTTCATATAACCATAAGGGACCTCAGTCAGATAGAGTTTACAATTTAAGGAGGAACTAGATGGAAAGTGATGCCTCCGTCATAGAGCAATTTTACAAACCAAAAAGCGGAAGAAAATTTTCAAATTCAAGTTTGATTGTAATCCATTAACAGGTTATTGTGATTACAAGCTATTTCTCATATACATGTATGAACCTTTGATCTTTGACCTCACGACCCCAAATGCAAGATACATACATGTCTTGACTTTGATGGTATTCCATCCATCGGTTCTAATGATAATGCAATCACAAGCTATTTTTGCATACATAATGAGCCACATGACCTTTGACCTTAACCTCATGACCCCTAAATCTAATCAGTTCATTGCCTCAGCATGATACGTACATGTCCTGAGTTTCATGGTAATCTGTCTATCTGTTCTAATGATGTGATCACAAGCTATTTTTGCATACATAATAAGCCCTGTGACCTTTGACCTATGACCTCATGACTCCAAAATCTAATCAATTCATTGGCTCTGCAAGTTACATATATTACCTAAGTTTGGTAGGAATCCATCAGTTGGTTCTTGAGATAACACGATCACAAGCTATTTTTGCATACATAATGACCCCTGTGACCTTTGAACTCGTGACCCCAAAATCTAATCAATTCATTGGCTCTGCAAGTTACATACATGACCAAAGTTTGGTAGGAATCCATCAGTCGGTTCTTGAGATAACGCGATCACAAGCTATTTTTGCATACATAATGACCCCTGTGACCTTTGACCCTCACCTCGTGCCCCCGAAATCTAATCAATTCATTGGCTCTGCAAGTTACATACATGACATGAGTTTGGTAGGAATCCATCAGTCGGTTTTTGAGATAACGCGATCACGAGAACAGGACGTACGGACATACGGACGTACGGACGTACGTACAACCCGAAAACATAATTCCTCCGGCTACTTCGTAACGGAGGCATAAAAACAACTTTTTAAAGTTCTGTTTATCATTCTGTTTTACGCAGAAAAAGGCCCACTTTTTTATCAATATGGTTGCCCGACTTATTCATAAGATGACCAACCATTTTCAACATTTAAAAAATAACTGCTCTGCAAGATACATAGATGCCTTGAGTTTGAGAGTAATCTGTCCATTAGTTCTAATGATAATGCGATCATAAGCTATTTTTTAATACATAATGTGCCTAATGACCTTTGACGTCATGACACCAAAATCTAATCAGTTCATTGGTTCTGCAAGATACATACATGACCTAAGTTTAACAGAAATCTATCAATCAGTTCTGGAGAACGTGATCACGAGAACAGGATGTACAGACAGACAAGACAACCTGAAAACATGCCTCCGGCTACTTTGTTGCGAAGGCGTAAAAAGCAGGCATTGCCCTTGCCCCCCCCCCCCCCCCCCCCCACCCCCAAACAAAAAGGAAGCCGGCTGAGAAATTTTACATGGACATTTTACCGGTTCGTCTAGAAGTTGTAACTTCTTCTAAAGTCCAGTCATAATCGGGTCACAAGGTCTGCATGCAGTTATTGCTACAGTATAAGAAGTTACCTCAATTTTTTCACACCATTCCGTCACAAGATTCTTCTTCTTTTGGATTAATTGGAGAGTCTCCCTCTTTAGTTTGCTTAATCCCAGACGATGCAGAAACTTCAGAATCTGTGTAACAGAAAAATACAGACTTATATAAACCTTAAAATGTACCAATCACCAAAACCCAAACATGTTTTGCTCTTCATGTGAGGGGTAGTAGTACCATGTCGCTATACTGTATTTGAAATAAGCTACAAAGAGATATTGCAATTTAAATACAAGGTTAGTGAACAGTAAAGATATATTGACTGCTATGAGAGGCATACCTGGCTAGTTGTTTCTATAGGCTCAAGGGGACGTTACATCCTGATATGACCCTGAGGCATGCCGTGCTGAGGGGTCATAGCAGGGTGTATTTTTTCAGGTGACTGGTACACTTAATTTAACCCTGAAAGTTACGAAGACAATAAATCCTACACGTAAAAAAACATATTTTAATCATTTTTTATTAAAAAGCATAGTGACTTACTTAAAGTGACTCGGTAACATTGCCTCAGATTCTAAAACAAAATCCTGGATTTAGCTCATGCTGCAATCATAATTGCAAACCTTTGGGTCAGTCAGGAATTCCATGACTTTTACAAGCTGATCGCCTATCTGATAATCAAGATATTTATTATTAAAATCTAAATTTTATTTTTCTTTTTCTTAACGGTTTTTATAACACTACAGGCACTTCATGATCATTTTGAAGCACAATTATATTTTTGACATACTATTATGTCAAAAAATATAATTTTTTTAAATGATAGAACACATTTTTGGCAGTTTAGATCACCTATTAGTGTGAATGACAAAGCTGGCACCTACAGTGTAGTGCATTGAACACCTCAGTTTCATCCAGTTTAATTATTATTGACAAAAATGTCAGAATAAATGGCATAGATCCACATTGTTTTATAAACACTACCGACATGTACTGTATATGAAGACCATCTGTCTATGAAGACTAAACTTCTTTTTTTCAAAGACCTGGGGCCCGTTCCTAGAAACCGTCATAAGTCTAACTTCTTGACCATCCCACTGAAACGCGTGTTAATTCTACAACACATGTTTCAATGGGATAGTCAAGAAGTTAGACTTATGACGGTTTCTAGGAACGGCCCCAGTTCTTCTCATTAAAGAACCAGTATATAAAGACTACCAGCCCATAAAGACTGCTTTTGTCCTTGTTTCCCCCTCTTAAACGGTCTTTAAACACAGGTTCTGTTGTACTTACCCCTTCATTAGCACCAAGATGCCACAGATTGACAGCTATTGCACCTTGATATCTCATATGCCCTTTGTTGCCCAGAGGGAGGTTGATCATCATTCCTATCCGAGAGTTAAAATGTTCCTTGCCCTTTCTATACAAAGTAACCAAAGAGATAACCACTTTAAATAGCAACAAGCAATTATTGTTAACATGTTGAGGTCAACTTTAAAAAATTGGAATAAATCATTGATATGGCTTGGACATTGTACGCTTGATTCTACCTTTAATTCTAAACACTCAGGAATTTGATTGTTTGGTCAATTTTTTCAAATCATATATCAAACACACCTTTGTCACCGATACAACTACATGTAATACTGAAAGTTGAAGATTAATTTCATTAACTTGATTAGCCCTTATTCTGCACAGCAAGTACAATTAGGCCAAATATAAAAAAAAAACATCTTTAGCGTCCTGTTTTTTTCGAAAAATAGGAAGGAGGAGGCCCTTTTTTTTCTTTCAAAATGGCCGCTTGGTACATTTTCCTCGACAGCCAGGGCTATTTATCAAGATCGCCGCCAACATTTTTTTTTTATTTTTTTTAAAAATCAGAAATAGATCTATTTTAGCAGTGTTTTTCCTTCTTTTTTTTTCTTTAAAAAAAAAAAAAAATTTAACCAAAATAAAAATGTAAAACTTTAAAAAAAAAAAAAAAGGCGGCCCCTAAAAAGGAAGCGGGCGGGGATGCTAAACATGTATATTTTTTTTAATGGTCTTACAAGAATCAATTAAATTTACATCACAATTCAACCCTGGAGTAGAAAATTAGATATACCTTAACATCCTGTCTGCCTGCCTCTCATTTTTTGTCATGGAAGCGACAACCACAGCAAAGAAGACTGGGGCTATTTTTTTTATGTGACGGAAGATGGGCTTCCATTGCTTTTCATCAAGCTGCTTCCCAATGGCGCAAGGCGGATAGAGGCGTTCCTTCCGCATCATTTTGACTTCTCTTCGGATAGTCTTTGCGATTTCTTTGGTCCACACTTCCCTCACCGCTTTCTTGCCCAACAGAAGCTTGAAGGCGTTTGTGTATTTTGAAGCCTTGATGAACTTCAGGAGGCCACTTTTTAACTCGAGATGTTTCTCTGCGGGCTGACTGACTGTGGGCAGATAATGAGATGTTCTTTCTGTCCATTGTACATTCAGACTCTCTATAGTTCTCCTTGCTCTGTCCCATTCTGTAGAGATGGAGAAGACGTAGAAAGTTAAAGACATGGCTAAGTCTAGAAAAGCTAGAGAACTGCTCAATGGAATGGTAGGAAGAAAATGATAGAATTTTTTTTTTTAAAGAATAACAAAAAAGAAGGTGGTAAAAGATGGAGACAAAGAATAACGTAAGGATGACAGAAGAAAAAAAAAGAATAACATAAGGAAAGACAGAAAGAGAAAGTGATAAAGAGAAAATGATAAAGAATAGACTCTAGATCTAGATCTAGATCTAGATAGAACTTAGAAGAGAATGGAAAAGATGGAAAACAAAGAATAACATGACGAAAGATAAAATTTAAAAAAACAAAATAATATTAGAATAATAAACAAATAATAACTTACTTAACTTCATAAAGTGAAAGAAGGAAAAGCAAAGACTAACAAACAGTAACATAAGGATTGAATAGAAAGACAGCAAGACCAAGAGAAAGTGGTAAATAATAGAAAATACAAAGATAGAAATGAAGATGAATGATGGAGAAAAAAAGAATAACAATCATAACATAAGAAAAACAGAAAAGAAATTGGTTTTACAAATAGAAGGGTAGAGATAGAATATTTTATTGAAGTAAACTTACGGTTCTGTATCAACGTACACTTCGAGCAGCATCTCTTCATGTACCAAGTTCGTTCATTGCCCGTTTTGGTTCCTGACCTCTTTAGAACTTCGCCCAGTCTGATATTTGTCCCCATTAAATTAGAACAAAACAGTTTCATACCTTTTTTTTCATCAATATTCCTGGGAACAAAACCACACGTAAAACAGAAGTTCGGTCTGTCTCTGATTGTTTCCGAGCTAGTTTTTGATCTTTTCGATGTCATGATTGCTGAGTAGGTCTATCTTACATTTCTGAATAAGAATAACCTCGAGAATATTTATAACAAAATTTCACTTTGTCCTCTCGTTCTTCGCTTCGACCCTCGAATTCGAGCTACATATAAATTTCATGGTATCCTTGAGGACATCCAACGAAATTGAAATAAATTTTAAGCAGACGCGGGTCGCTAGCCGCCCGCCTGCCCGCCCGTCCGCCCGCCCTGCCGCCCGCCCGCCCGCCCGCGCGCCCGGTGTTTTATTTTTTCGTATCCAGGCGAGCGAGCCCAGATTCCATTATGAACTCATGATCCAATTAAACAACAAGAAAGCAACAATCTGGGCTCGCTATGGTACGAAAAAATAAAACGCCCCCGGACGACGCCGCCCGGCCAGATTGAAACAGGAAAATGCCTTTATCTTTAAACAGTTTTGAGGCATGGGGCTCAGCTATCGTGGCCCTGTTCGAAGAGAGGAGCAAACTTCGTCGAATATTCAACTTTAATCAGCACATACAAACAGGCGCGGATCCAGGGGGGCCAGCGGGCCCTGCCCCCCCCCCGCAAAAAAAGGGAGAGAGAAAGAGAGAAGGGAAAGGAAAAGAGGAGATAAAAGGGATAAGAAAGAAGAGGAAGAAAAGGGGGAAACGAAGGAGCTCAGGGGGGGGGCCGAAAGGGCCTTGCCCCCAAGCTGTTACCTACCCCCCCCCCCCCCCCGTCAAGAAATAAAAGAGAAGGTAGGAAAGGGGGAAAAAAAAGGAAAAGAGGAGATAAAGGGAAGGAAAAAATAGGAAGAAGAAAAGAAAAGAAGAGGGATGTCAGTTGTAATTTTCACGCCAGCAAGTTGCCCTTTCCTCCCCCCCCCCCCCTCCCGCCCCGCCCCCGAAATGGGGGAGGGAAAGGGAAAGAGGAGAGCTAAAAGGAACAAAAACAGGAAGAAGAAAAGAAAAGGGTGAAATGAAGGGGGAACAGTTGCGATTAATCCCGCCAAAAACGTGTGGATCGGAGGGGGGGCCAAAAGCCCCTTGCCTCCCCCCCCCCCCCCCCTTCAAACTTAAAACAGAGAGAAGGAAAAAAGGGAAAGGAAAAGAGGAGAGAAAAGGAAAGAAAAAAGGAGAAAGAGGAAAGGTAGTTGGTGTAGATCGGGGGCACTGGCGTACTGATGAGGGAGGGGGCTTGGGGGAGACATATGCCCCCAAATATAATTCAAACGTGGTTTATTTTTAATTCGACACCGGTGATTTAAAAAATTTGCTTATATCACATAATTTTCCAAAAATTTTCCTCAATCTTTAGAAAATTATACTTTTTTATGCGTTTGTTGGAAAATGGCAAATTCATAAAGAAAGAAAAATAGAATAGTAACTTGCCTTTCTCACATAATAATGAGGTGTCGAAATTTGCTCATCTGACCGAGAATAATTGCATAAAACCCCTGAGCTTCCGGGGGCTCTGCCCCCTGGATTTCACCTAAGGCCCTGAGGCGGGCACCTGGATGCTCATCTGACCGTATTATTGCCAAAAACCCCTGAGCTTCCGGAGGCTCCGCCCCCTGGAACCCCACACCAATTCGTGACCTGCCAGTGTCACAAATAAGGTATCAAAATATGCTCATCTGACGGTAATTTAGTGTATAACACCCCTGAGCTTCTGGGGGCTCTGCCCCCTGGACCCCACACCATTTTGTATCCTGCCATTGTCACAAATAAGTTAAAATAATATGCTCATCTGACCGTAATTTATTGCCCAAAACCCCTAAGCTTTCGGGGGCTCTGCCCCCTGGACTCCACGCCAATTTGTGACCTGCCAGTGTCACAAATAAGGTATCAACATATGCTCACCTGACCGTTAGTAAGTTCCTATACCCCCTGAACTTCTGGGGGCTCCACCCCTTGATCCCCCGCGGGGCTTTGCCCCTAGACCCCACGCCAATTTACGCTACGCTCTACCTGATCGTAAATACCACCCCCACCCCCACCCCACTTCCACCTACTAGAGAAACGTTCAGCGGGGCCTGCATGTAAGAATTTTTTTTTTTACCCCCCCCCCCCCCCCAAAAAAAAAAAAAAAAAAAAAAAAAAACCTGTTTCCGAGGTAGGTGAATCTGGGCTCGCTTGCGTACGAAAAAATAAGACGCATAATGAGTCACTGAACTGGAATATAACAGAAATTAAGAAGAAAGGCCCAGGGAAAGGAAAAAGGGGATCATCAAGTTCAAGTTCAATCAAGAATATTCAAAGAAAAACAAATATATGAAGTTGAAATATAATACATGTCTCAATATATAACATAAAAATAACACAAGCGGAGAAGACATGTAGAAAAAAACAAAAATTGTGACATAATTATGTGCAAGTATTTGGAGACTATCAGGGCCGTAGCCAGAGTTTGATGTTGTTTTTTTTTTTTTGGGGGGGGGCACATACTTGTAATTGATCGACGTCCTGGGGAGGGGTCTAAAAAGTTTAACCAATCTCGGACATTTTGGGGGGAACGTGGGGAGACGAAAGACTTCATGCATGGCTGATTGTTTACGAAACGGAGTTAAAGGTACTATGTCCCTTTTGCAGCCAACCTCAAATGCTGTAGAACTTTGCAGGAATTATGAATATGTCATGTATGTCCTATCTGTGAAATTTAAACGTTAGCAGTGTCCTCATATTCAAATTATGCAAGGAAACCCGTTTACTTGCTAGACTTCACTGTCAGACGCTTGAGTGACTGACTGGCTTTTTTTTCTTCCTTGGTAATAACATACATGAAAAGAGTTGTAAAGGGTACAAGAGCATTTGTCTACATCAATAACCCACTTCTTGTGATGGCCAAGATTAAACTGATTGAATCTTTGCGCAGCATAAAACGTATGACCATTCGGTACAATTGTCTGAAAATCAAGACTATTACTTTTGGGCTCTATAGCCCTAAAGTCGATTTGACAACTAATAGTCATTATTTTCCCACTTGAAGACATTTTCAAGCCCCACCTTTTTTAGGGAAGTTCTAAATTAGTATTATCTTTCAAATGCAGTTGGAATTTAACTTTTTCATTTTTTTGGCCTGCAAATGGGACATAGTACCTTTAAGTCTGTTGTCAATTCTATTTGTTGCAAAGGCAGGCAGCCGGTGAAAACGTATTTGTTTGATAAAATTATGAGAATGCAAGCATTACTTTAAACAAACAGAACTTTGTTATTCCTGGCTCATTTTTCCTGATTGAGGTGTCATATGAAAGGGCAAAAAATGAACTTTCTAGAAATGTGAATTTTTCTTCGAAATTCAGATACCGCCCGCCAAATCACTTTTTGGTTTCCTTCCTTCAAATTGCTTTTAATCACTCATGCGTGAAATATGCATCACTTGAGTAGCATCACATGAAAGAGGAGACTCTAAGCTTTCCAAATAATGTTTCATTCATTAATTATAGTTGTGATTAAGTTATGATAAAACATCAATACTTCTCGGTTTCGTTTTTTCTGGGACGCACTGTATAGCCACAGACAACTCTTTATTTTGTCCTGTACAAAGATAGGCCATTATTAATTTCTGCCCCCCCCCCCCCAAGTATCCTCTCGCGTGGGGCTCTAACTGTTAATTGGAACAATACACGTTGCCCGGCTCTATATATCACATGCAGTGACATTACCGATTCGGCCAATTTGAAGTGCCATACGTATATATTGATTACAACTTTCAAAATGTCATAACTTTCTTAATTTCTGTCCGATTTCGTTCTAACTAGCTGTCACCAGTAAACTTTTCTGATTTTCTTTTTCTTGTTGACTCCCTTTAAGTGAAAGAGAAGGCGTTCGTATAGGCCCTATATAATGAAATGTTTAGCCAATGAGGAGTTATTACTTTCATCATAAAAGGGGGGGGGGTGGGGTAGCGGTCAATACACTATAAACTGCAATTGTGGATGGATTATCAAGGCCACCCAATTATTTCTGTGGAATGGATTATTGTAGATTGTTCTTCAGGTTCCCTTAATTTTCTCCCTATTGCTACCTTTCTCTCTTTCATATATATTTTCATGTTCGCTGTTGGGTGCGATTTGATGGGAGGGGTCCGTGCCCCCAATGGTATTTAGGCCTACGTTAATAACAACAAATATGTAAATATATAGTATTGATACTTACATGTATCTTCTATTTGATAGTTTTACAGAGAAGTATTTCAAGTTTCCCAAGGGCGGGAGACGCTGATTAACACCTTACTCATATATCTGCTGCCGCTTAATTATAGAGAAGACCGATATTAATTTTTTGCGTGGGTATATACACTGTCGCTCATATAGTTTGAATTTTTTCCCCCCAATTTATGGAATTATTTTGATAATGATTTATTCATAGTAGATCTAGATAATAGATATTTTTCTGTTCGGGACCGGGAGGAAATTCAATGAATTCAATGAAGAGCACATTTAAAAAAAAAAAAAAAAATTCCTGAAAATTTGGCTGATCGATATTTCGTTCCGTTGATTGGGGGGGGGGGGGGGGGGGGGGGGTAAGGTCACATTTTTTGGTCTTCCATTACTTTAACATAGGCGTACGTGCCTGGTAATATGTCTTTATAAGTGCTAACTATTATGTAAACATAGAATATTATTGTTATTATTATTATTATATTATTATTTTCATTATCATTATTACTATTATCATTACTATTATTATTATCATTATCATTATTATTATTATTATTATCATTAACATTTCTAATATCATTATTATTAACCTATATGATATCATTATTTTTATTATCATCATCAATATTATTATCAATATAATACAAACTTAGTAGTATAGCTAGGCCTGGTTCAAGGGACAACGAATCATATTCAAGCAGTGGACATTTTTTTTTAGGGATGATAAGCCAGATTCCCTCAGGAAATTAGTCACGTTTTGCAAATGTGTGTGGGTAGTGTGCCCGTGCCCCTCCCCCACAATAATTCAACAGACGAACGAATTATTCTAAAGAAAACACATGAGGTACAACTTGAAGATTACAGTGCTGTCGATCAAAAAAAATTCAGAATAAAAACTTTATTTTAATCCAGCAAAACATTCAACATTAATATTTTTATAAGAAAAAGATTATACTTTGAAATTTTAATTACAGATTTTAAATTTTGTGTGGGTTTTACAATATATAAGATTATTGTTGAGAAGTTTCATTTAGATTGGCAACGCAACGTTATTAGTTTCTGATCATTTCTGCTCACATATAGCATCATCAAATTCACACAGAATTGGATACGGGCTAGGCTACGTCAGATGAATTCCGGAGGCTGTGTCGTGATTTAGTTTTACAACTTGGGTCTTGTGATGTCAAGTCACGAGCAAAACTCATTTCCAGCTCGCCACATGGATATTGAAGGTGAGTTAGGAGAAATTTTGTCGGTTTGATGACCATGGCCTATCAAATTCAATCGTGTTTGGACCTCGTTTCTGGGCTTGCCTGGCTTGAGCTGAGCAGTACAGCAGAGCTACGTACAGTACATTACTAATAGTCAGTACAGGCGTCACTGCTTGCAATGCCAATACACAGCCAGTGCAGTGCTAGTGAAGTGAGGACATGATGACATGACTTTATCATTGATGAGATGTGTGTTACTAATTACTAGTAGAGGTCTAGACCTAGATTAATTTAGAGTGAGTGGAGACTATGCTTGATGATGTTGATGTGCATTGGGCTTGAAATGAAAGAGAGCCGAGTGTGCAGCAAGTGGTCCGAGAATGAGGATCGTCCGCATTTATAAACGAGGATATCCTTGTAAACGCCACAAATTGTGACCGCGGAAATAAGAATAGTCTGCGAAAATATTAGCAGATTTTTTTTTACTTTGGCGCTCTGCGGGTTTCGAGCTCTTGATCTGGCGCTGGCAATGCGAAAACAGATTCCACGTAATAAATACCCCCAGCTCACCGTCTACTTTTTTTGGTGACAGTGTGAGCAGTAGGGGCGCTGGTACGAGAATAAGGATCGTCTTCATAAACAGGACAGACGCGTCTGCAAAAGTAAGGATCGTCCGCGCAGGATTCTTATTTCCGATCCGCGCTGGATCTGCCTTGGCGATGCGAAAGTGGATTCCGCATGTGCATGTGCATGTGCATTTCACATCGACTTTGTTTAGAGACTTTCACGTTATGAGCGATAAATTATCGGGAAGATGGACAACCCATAAAACAAATACACAGGGGCTCGGGCCGCATTAGCCCCCAAAATGCCAAAAAGATTTCCCGAAAGTCATAAAAGAGCCCCAAAAATGCATAGAGTTCAATGCAAACAAAATAAAGAGTGTTATTTTCATGCAAGCAAGTTTTAAAAGTAGCCCCCAAAATTTTTTAAGTATTTTTTTTCCCTGCCATAAAAATAGATGGTGAACCTGGGGGTATTTTTTGCCAGCACGCGGATAGTGAAACCGAAGAAAAAAAACTCACAAAAAAATGTGGATAATCCTCGTTTTTTAGGACACACTGGCCCGAATTCACAAAGGAGGTTTGTCGACAAACCTTGGTTTTCGTACGTCATATGACGCGTTTTACGCGTTTTTTACAAACCTGGTTTGTAAAGGAGGTTTGAGCTCAAACCTCGGTCTGAGCTCAAACCTTGCTTTGTGAATTCGGGCCATTTAGTCCAACTTCAATTGAGTGTTAGAAATGTTTAATATCCCTCCCCGTTTCTCATTCCGAACCTGCCTCTCATACTTCATTCGTAAAAAACTTGAAGGAGAACTAACCCCAAAGCATAACTTAAGTTGTTTTGAGAGATTTATTGCATTCTTGCCAATCAATCCACAAGATTCCCCACCAAAGTGTATGAGAATAGCATACCAGGATAAAGCAAAAATAAAGTACAGTTTCTCAGCAAGACATGGGCATCGCCATTTTCTTGATTGCATGACGTACTATGCGGAGTGGAGTGGTTTATCAACTAAATGTATTCAAATTGATGGATGCTTCCTTCCCAGGTGTTTGTGGTTTGAAGCATTTCATTCACCTGCTATTCCATGTATCCTTTGTACTCAAATTGCCAGAACGCTAATTGCATAAATAAGTTGGTGCTGTTCTGGGGTGAAGGTTTCGCATTTAGAAATAGATTTTTCAACTGCTATATTTTAGTATTTTTAAATAAATGAGTTACAATTGTTACCAGATTATATATTTTCCACCAAATGTAATTTTTACCTTCTCGGCTATGATTTTCCCTTATTAAAAATTAAAGGTTTTGTTATTGAATTTAAAAGTGTTTCCAATTAAAGCTTGGTGCATGATACATTGTACATTTTCAAGAAAATGGCTGCATCCATGCTATGCTAAAAGGCATTACTGGTAGTACTATTAACTCATTTATTACATCATGCTAAGAAATCTTCATGTACTGTATATCTCTTGTACATGTTTGTAAGATTTATTGTACATCAAAAGGCAGGAATTCATTTCATTTTTCAGAATCCCTACATGTACACTTATTATTTGGAGTTACTTCTCCTTTAAGTGAAGAACTACACAAGGTGATAAAGTACCTCACATTTTTTATTTCAATGTCAACCATTGAGAAGCGATTTTGTGTGTGTTATAAGCCAAAATTCTCATGAACGTGGTACTTGTACATGTACATGTACATGTATGTAGGTAGTTAAAGAGACTGAACTGATAGAGATACACATTACAGATACAGTAGCCAAAAATCACATTTGAGAAGAAAAAAATATATATTTGACTCACATTACTACATCTGTAAACATTTCTATAAACTTGAAAATTCAGCCCAAAACTTATGGAAAGCAGGATTGTATAGTGAGTAATTCAAAATTCTTATGACAATAGAAACTATAATTTTAAATTCTAATGATTATATTTCCTTGTGACAGGTAACCTATCATAACCTATCAAAAACTTTGTGAATAGTTGTCTCGCATTCTAATACAGATTAATTCATCTGCTTTCATGACTGTAAACAATGATACTTAACCTTTCACCTTTAACCTTTCACCTTTAACCTTTGACCCTTTCATCAGGAGAAGTACTCAATGTCCAGCAGAGGGTAGGGGATCTGGAGTCCTCCCTGCAGGCAGTCCTGCAAGAAAAGAAACTTCAAGAGGAAGACTTCGCTCAAAAGAGAGCAAAGTTCAAAGAGCTATACTTGACCAGAGAACGTAAGTTGGCAGAACATTAGAAATCTTCCTACAAACAAGAAAACAAGAAGCAACTCCTATTACCGGTATTTAATTTCTGTTACAACCAAGCATAAGAGAAGAAGAAAAAATTGTGTGTAAAGGAACAAGAGGTAAGAAAATTAGAAAAATGATGAAAAATTTGAAAGACTAGGATGTCAGATGAAAAATTATGGATACATTTAATCAGTAGCTCCTGTTTGAAATGAAGATCAAATTTGTAATTAGCAACATTATTTATACCCCCCCCCCCCTCCCAACCTTAAACGACAAAGAAATATTAAAATGTCAAGACCAAATAATGTTTCTTTGCATTTTTTTCTTAACTTTCCTCAGAGGAATTGATCAAAGAGGTGGATAACATCAGAGAGGAGAAGGATAGATTGAGCGAAGAATTGGCTGGTCTAAATACAGCTGCATCTGTCATCGAGAGTAGCAAAGATGAAGAAATTGCGGAGATCAAGCAAAAATGGACTGACGAGGTTGCATCACTCCAACAAATTGTTTCACGTAAGTTTTGTCCATTTCTTTAAAATGCAACATGCACTTTCAATTCAATACTTAAATTTGAAATATGAGTATTTTACTTAGTCTTCGGCTTAGATGAAATACTTAGCCAATTTTGGTATTCAGTTCAAACTTTTGTCTTTTGGTTTGGTTATATTCTTCTTCTTTTTTAAATTTTCAATGAAAATCTTTGAGTTTGACTTCATTATGTTTGGAGATTTATATATAATCATGTCTGTCCATGTTAATTATATTGCATGTTGCAAACATTTCTCAAAGATGCTCATAAGTACAGAACTGGTGATTTTAGTGTTGTCTATTTCTACAAAACTTCACTTTATAAATGTCTACATGTAGATGACTAAATAAATAAATAATAATGCATTTTGAAGATTTCTTTCTGGGGAAGGCATAACATTTAATTGTTGGTACATGTACATGTCCAGTATATGCCAATAATATGTATTTTTTGTTTACTGTAAATTATTTTCTTAAATTTGTTGGTAAACATACCTGTAGGCATATACAGGCAGTAGAATATGTTGTACATGAAGGTTCCTTGCAATGCTGGATAATGTAAAAAATGTGTTGTATGTCTCACACATTACTAGACTAGATGTCATTCCTAAAATAGCACATCAGGTGGAATGACTAAGCAGAGATTAGGTCTCTGAGATCACAGGAAATCAGGATGGAATCGTTCTTTATCTCCAAACCTAATAAGACTAATCTAGTCTTTCCTTTACAGAAATCATTTCCATTTCACTTCTACATGTGCCCATTTCAATTATTGCTCCTGCATGTGAATGTGTATTTGGAAAACATGCACAAGTGAGGAAGTTTCAGTTAGAATGTCTAGACAAAAATGTTGTTACATGAAAACTGTTTGTTTCATGACCAGTGTAAGATGTACAAGGGACCCGTGAGCGATTTAGACCTAGAAAGCTCCCAATGAGCTCTGATAATAAAACAATGAAATATTTAAATATTAAAGTGAGAATATCACACTTATGGCAACACTTACATGTGTGAAACACAGAAATTTATTTTTTTCGCTGTTCATGACATGTACAATACAATATTCAACTTTCTTTTTAAAACAATAACAAATGACAGGAAAGAGCACTGTGCCTACTGAGGCCCTTCTGGCTTTTGGAGAATTTTTTTTTTCTTTCAAAGAACAATGATGGCATGAGAAAATTAGTATTGCCTCACTATGCATTTGACGAGACAATTCCTGTTGTAAAGATTGAAATCATAATTTCATAATGAAATAATCGTAATGTGCTTTTAAATGCATTTTTTTCTTGGAATTTCATCTGCACTCTTCTGGAAAGTATATTCAACAGTTAGATCAGTGGTACAATTCTATAAAAACAAATTATGAATGTCATGCTGACATGCAGAGTGCCCAAAGCCATCTCTGAAAAGATGAGTAAGGGTAGTAAACAATATCTTATTGCTGATAATTCAAATGTGGTTTTGGTTGATGACTTTATAAATCCATTTGGTGACACTAAAAAGAATATAAAATTACTGAAAGAGGATAACACTGAAGTGTTATACCATTTAAACAAATTAAAAAAATTGTATTCACCCTGTAGATACAGCAGCAATAACTGCTGAGGAGACTGCAATGACGTACCTTATGGAACGAGACAAACTCCTGGCACTCAATGACAAACTCACACAGGAGCTTCAAGAACTCAGCCAGTATCCAGCCGGGGAGAAGTAAGTCAATAAGTGTAGAAGGAAACAAAAACAACATTATAGGAGATACATGTACATGTATTTGAAGGTAAAAGGAGTTTTAAAGAAGTTCAAAATGGAAAGAATGCTTCTTTTTTTAAACTTTTCTCTTGCACGATTCTACCATGGTTCACGCAATGTTTGAAAAATTTACCAACCAGCAGTCCATGTTTGTATTTGATAAAACTATTGATTAGATGCCTTTTCTAGTTCATTAAATTCTTGAGATTGATTGTATACAAATTTCACATTTGAATGAACATGAATGGAGATGAAACTGTCATGATTTTACTTAACTTTGTATTGAATACATCTGGAAGTAAGAATTTTATTTCTTTCCTACTTTATTTCATTTTCAATTACTTATATTTTTCTCTTTTTAAATTGCAGATATATTTATCACAAATAATTTTCTTAAATTTCATTATGTTTAAGAACGATGACGTCTTCAGGCAGTGCTGGCCTTCTGACGAGTATGACAAAATCATTCCGCAACTTGACCAGCACCACCACCAGTCCATCTCCTACCAGGGAGGAAAAGCCTTCTCTACCACCGACCCCAGTCTCCCCATCAGCACAAGATAATCTGGAACAGAGTATGCTCAAGGTATGGTATCATTCTTTATTCATGCCCCCCCCCCCTTTATACACCCCTCGTATGCTTATCTCCTATCACAGACAGTTTTCACCCCCCCCCCCCCCATCATCGACCCCAATCTCTCCATCAACACTTGACAATCTTGAATAGAGTATGCTTAAAGTACAGTATTATATTCTGTTTACACCCCTCCCCCAGATTACACCCCTTGTTTACTTATCTCCTATCACAGGATTTTCACGAAGGCCCCCCCCCCCCCCCCCTCCCCTGTCATATATTTCTCTCACATACCCCTCTACTACAGACCCCAATCTCTCTCGGTGAGCTTAAGACAATATAGAATTGGGTACGGTACTGGTATGCAAGGTAGGTATCAGCCTCTCTTAATCCCCCCCCCCCCCCTCTACTTTGCTCGGTCAGTCATAGGACTTGAAAATAAATGAAATAATAATGATAATCAGTTTTTATATAGTGCTTATTACAATCATATGTGATTTCAGAAAATTTAGTATAAAATTCTGCTTGCATCAGTTCAGAATACATGTATGTGTAGGTAAGTTTTGGTCAGCAATAATTCACATGACCAATGGAAGATTCAAACTAGCTTTTATGTATTCAAAATCAAAACAGAAATGTAAAGAGATATTTAGCATATCCCTGTTTTAACTTACAATGAACTATAAAATAAGAACTCATTGCCAATAGAAATACGAAGCACTGACACTCCATCTCTCAATGTCTTCAAATCCAAATTAAAAACGTATTTGTTCAATTTAGAGATCTTATTTTGTATATAAGCTGCACTATATAAATTTATTATTTATTATTATTGTTATCAAGTTTTTTTCCAGTATAGGCACAACATGAATTGTGAGAAAGCATTGTTATATCTTTGTTTCACTTCAGGCACAGAAAGATTCAGAGATGCTTCGAGCTGTTGTAGTTCCCCTGGAGCGAGAGATAGAGAGTCTCAAACAAAAGTTATCAGATGTTGGCAGTGACAACAGACGTCTACACGCAAGGCTTAAGGTAAAGAAGAGAGTTTCATTGACAATCGATAATAATAATTAATAATAATAATAATAAAAACAGTGCACCAAAGTCTCTAAGCGCTTTAACAAATAAAATACAATGATTAACAATTACAAATTAAACAAAACAAAAAAGGACAAATAAACCTACAGATTACAATACACATGAAATATACATCAATGTGAACAGACACAAAAAGTTTTTAAAAATGTTCTGTAAATGTGAAATCAATATTTACTTGTTATTAGACACCTTTTTTTTCCTTACTGGATGAAAAAAGGGACACAATCTTATGGTCTGCGGAGAGAAAGAAGGGTGGAAACTGTATGAGAAAAGTCATTTAGTTAATGCCCTCCTGGCTCTCAACAGACAGTATATCTGTGTCCAAGTCATCTGGAGAATAGTGGTTCATTTATTTTTATTGCACACAAATGAATATTGTCTTCCTTCTGTACTAAATATGTATATGTAACAATTGCTCACCTGCGACGAACTGACATCATAGAAAGGCCAATTTAATAACATGACCTGAGCAGGGATTTACTGATATCAAGTTTTCATTAATTCCAATTTGAAAAAGATACAGAGCTGTTTACCAACGCTCTGTTTTGAATTTGATTGATTGTAAAACAATTCCATTTTGAATGTTGTTCATCCCTTTAAATGATGAAGTGAATTGGTTTCACTTTCGTGCAGTATAAGTATTTTATATTCCTTAATAGTCTATGGTATCTCAAGAACCAAATGCCATGTGTTCTGTAGACAAACTTCAGAACCTTCAATGAGAAGTGATTTACTGTCGGAACATGCTATCTTACCGAATGGCTATGTAGTACGTATCAGATAGATTACAGCTTAGCATGTTTTATAGTTTATCTCTACTGATCCCAATAAAGATGCCTCAAAGAAACAGGCCTGATAATTTCCTGATTTTTTTTTCCCCCGAATTTATCCCTATTTTCCTGATTTTTCCCCGTATTTTCTCTATTCTTCCCCTATTTTTCCCCAATTTTCTTACTCAAAAGGGGAAAATGTTGTTACATGTAGATGCCATTTTTTCCCCCTGAATCCTCTTCTTTTTTTTTTTACTCAAGGGGGGCGTGGTTGAGGGAAGAAAAAAAAACATACATTGTAACTATGTGTCCACTTCATGCAGTTATTTCTGTGAAGATCTCAGCTTTTTTATACAAACTGATTTGGGTTTTAAGGTGTATCATAAAATTAGTAAAATACAACATTTGGATTTGTCATAGAATTCATTCCTTAATATGCATGGTCACGTTTCATGAACTCACTCATCCTTTTGATATGTACAGAAAGCTACTGGGAGTAAAGACTACAGTGATGCTGTACCAACGCCTGATCACTATGGCTACGAGGTCACCAAGGATGACATTGATATTCTCAATGAGAAGGTAAGAGTGGAAGGCCGGCCATGAATGAGGGCAATGTTATGAAAATTTATCTTTGTTCCCTCTTACGGCTAGCTAGGTGGGTCAAGCTCGCTATCCATAACGCGTGACTAAATGAATAGCGGTCTTTTATAAATGGTAGTCCTTATAAATAGTGAGTAGACCCCCGCTAGGTGGTCATGAAATAGATTTTTATTTCATGTGACACCTAGAAACTTTTACATTCGTAAATACCTAAATGGGAGGTTTCAAAAACATTTAAAAAAAACGATTGTAAGAATGTATTCTTACTATGTTATTCATCACAATATTGAAAAATACTATGAATCTGCCAACAAAAGTGTTGCCAGAGGCATCAAAATTTAGTTAAATTGTTGAAATATTTTCATCCTATTTGGCAAATTAGGAATATAAGGGCATTTCAAGACCGATCCTTTTCATGTGACATTGCTTCTATGATATTTGTCCATGTCAGGAAAAGAAAAGCATGGGAAAGCTCACATTTTTTTTCTCACATAGAACTCATTGAGAAAACAATACAAAGAGCACTGTCCCACTTTTTAACCTCTTTGATACAACATGTTATTCTTATAATAAATTTATATAAGTGTTAGGAACTGCATAAAATCTATTGTAATGTCCCGTTTCACCGAGAACTCCTTGAGAACACAATGAACTCTTGCCCCTCTCTTTAACTTCTTCTTATAAAAAAACAGGACAAGCTGCTTCTAAAGCTACCTCACATGAAAAACAAAAGTAACTCTTTGAGATTGTGCTTTCAGTTGCGTCGCTCCAAAGCTTTGGAATAACCTGCCACTAGACATAAGAAAATTTGAAGAACCACTTGTTTTCAGGAGCTTTGAATAGTTGTTATGCCTCCGCTACAAATTAGCCGGAGGCATTATTTTATTTTTGTATTCTGCGTCTGTAAAGTAGAACTTTTATGAGTTCTGTTTTCATCACAGTGCGGTGGGTTATATTCATATAGTGGCTGTGCTAAATAGATTGATCTAATTGTTTATTTTATTATCATTATTTATCTCCCTGTGGTATGCATAACATGTAAGCTAACATTGTATCAAGATTCAATTGATTTCCTGCACTTTGCCTCTCCCTGCTGAATGCAGATCAGGGATTTGAACAAGGTGTTAGAGACGGAGAAAGCCGCCAGGACAGACCTAGAGCTTTACGTGGCTGTGCTTGGTAAACAGAAACATGTCATGCAGGATGAAGGTGATCAGATGAGAGATGAACTCAAAGATGGTAAGATTATCAACTATTCATTATCTTCAAGCCCCACTGTACTACTTATCGCCACACGTACTTGTACCCTCTATATAGCAAACAATGCCTAATCGGTGATTGTTTGTCCCTAATGGTCCCCTTTATGTTAATTGAGACCTGATTGATAAGATAACCACCTGTCAGTGACCATTTATTTATTTATTTATTTATTTATTTATTTATTTATTCCGTTTTATTTTAACAGGGTAGCCCCGTCAGTATTCAAAGTACTGTTTTCCAGGGGGCCCTGTACATAAATGAACATATATGAAGAAACAAACTACTTGAACAATATAAACATCATGGAAAACATCAATACATAGCAACATATAACAGAAAGTGAGTAAAGAGTAAGAGTGAATAATGAAACAAAGCCGTAGTAAGAATGATAAATTTCAATGAGCAATTTCAAATCGATAACAATATACTCTGATTATTATCAATGATCTATTTAGATTTTAACAAATTATTATATTGAGAAATTTATGTAAATATTCATGAAAGCAATAAATAAAGAAAGAAAGGCAAATTTATCTTTAAGATCGCTGCTTAAAATAGAGAGAACAAAAATTATTCTTGGTCGGGGCATTTCGAACTGAGTGGGGTAGGCTATTCCACTGAAGAGCACCATCAACTGAGAAGGCACGTTTTCCACATTCTGTTTTAATTCTTGGAATAATGACGCCCAAATTGTCAGCATTCCTTGTTGAGTATCTATGAGTATGGGCGGACAGGGTGAACATATATAAATATGATGGGGCACTATTATTCATAACATCATACATTAATTTACTTTTATTGAACTCCCATCTTTTTTCCATGTCAATCCATCTCAGGGTATTAAACATTTCAGATGTGGGAATCAAAGTATTTATTTTCAGGACAATTCTTGCCATCTGCTTGTGTTGCTTAATCAAGATATCTTTTGTTCTTTTATTACAAGTACTCCATGAAACACTACAATAGTCATAGTAAGGAAGGATAAGGGAATTGGCAAGTAGTTTGGCACTATCGATTGTGAGATATTTCCTGACTCTACGAAGTAGGGCCAACCTAGAGGCAATTTTATTTGAAGTGTATTTCACATGATCCTGCCACGTCATGTGCTGGTCTAGACAAACTCCCAGATATTTTACACTTTGAACTTGCTTGATTGGTACATTAGAAACTTTTATTGCGATTGGTGTGTATTGCAAGTTCAGCAATTTCTGCGGTGTTCCAAAAATCATGAAGCATGTCTTGTCCGTATTCAGGGTAAGTTGGTTTCTTTCTAACCACTTTCTCACACAATCCAAATCATGATTAAGACATGTTTCGATTTCCCTTGGATTTGAAGAACTGTACATAAGGGCAGTGTCATCTGCATACATAATCACTTTACCGTGCTCGATGACTGATGGAAGATCGTTCATGAAAAGAGTGAAAAGGAGGGGCCCCAATATAGATCCCTGGGGGACTCCAGACTTTAACTTTAGCACGTCAGATTTTTTACCTAGCAAGGAGGTACACTGCGCCCGGTGTACAAGATATGATTCGAACCATGATAATGCTTGTCCCGTAATGCCATACAGTTTTAACTTATCTAGTAATAATCTATGATTAACAGAGTCGAATGCCTTTCGTATGTCAAGAAAGACTATTCCAGTTATTCTACCTTTATCCATGTTAGTCAACAAATAATTGCTCAAAAATGCAAGTACGGTGTTTGTTGAATAACCTTTCCTAAATCCAGATTGGTGAGGGGTTAGGAGATTATTATCTGACAGATAGTCTCGAAGTTGCACGTTAACTGCCTTTTCCAATATTTTCATAATCGACGGTATAACAGATATGGGACGATAGTTGCTAACATCGTCCCTATCCCCACCCTTGTGAATTGGGGTAACTTGTGCCTGCTTCCAGTCAGCTGGAATTTGGCTGGTTTGCAGAGAAAGATTAAACAGGTGAGTAATAGGTGTACAAATAACGGGTGTGGCCAACTTCAGGAGACGTGCACTAAGCCCTTCTAGGCCAGTTGCCTTATTAATCTGAATAGAGTGCAATTCTTTTCGTACAAAATCCTCAGAAATCAAATCAAATTCAAAGACAGATCGAATAGAGTCCTGAGATAATGACAAGATCACATGTTCAACAGAGGAATGACTGGCAGCAAGCAGACTACCAATAGATGTAAAATACTCATTAACACAATTTACATCAAGGTTCAAAGTATTGGGAACGCTTTTGGTGGAAGTAGGGGCAATTTGTTTAAGCATCTTCCAAAGTTCTGAAGGGTTCCTTTTGTTTTGAACTATTTGTTCATGACAAAAAGACTTTTTCAAAGTAACTCTTAGGTTATTGACATGGTTACGGCAGGATCTGAAAAGACTCCAATCCCGTCGGTCCTTTGAATTTTCAGCTTTCTTCCTGAGTGCATCTCTATCATAGCACAATCGAGTGTACTCAGGCGTGACCCATTTTGTCTTCATACCCCTAACCCTCAGAGAAATCTTAGGGCAATGTTCATCACAAATACCAACAAACTTAGTCTTCCAGTTATTCCATTCAATTTCAATATCATTTCCTTCCATAAATTCCATTCTAGCATTTAATAATGCTTCACAAAATAACGTTACGTTTAACCGTCTATAAGCTCTTGTATGTATAATCCTAGCTGGAGTTTTCGGTTTAACATGTTTGCTAACAACATACACTAGTCTATGATCACTCAGACCATGAATGACAACATTTTTATCAAGTACATTGTTTGGTCGATTAGTTAGAATTAAGTCTAACAATGTAGAACTACTCTCAGTAACTCGGGTAGGATCGTCAATTATCTGTTTCAGGTTATACTGATTACACCAAGTTTTAACATTTCTTGATTCTCTCTTATTATACATGTTATAGTTAAAGTCGCCGAGAATATAACATTCCATGCCACCATTCACAATCTTGGAAATTGATGTGTCCATCAATTCGGAATAGGAAGTGTTGGAGTTTGGGGGACGATAAAACACACCGACCATCAATGGGCTACTGTGTACTAATTTAACTTCGATCCATATGTTTTCAATGTCAAAATACTCAAACTCCGTAGTACGTTTGTATATAATGCTGTTCCTAGTGTAAATGGCCACTCCTCCCCCTTGACGGTTTCGGTCCCTTCTCTCAAGAGAATAACCCTCAATATGAATTTCTGCATTACCAATAGACTCATCCAAATGGGTCTCAGAGAAGGCTATTATGTCAAATGGGTAATTAGCCATTTTTTCTCTAATGTCAACAATCTTAGGATATAAGCTACATATATTTAGATGAGCTATTTTAAGTCCTTTTAATTTAATATCAATGAAAAAGCCATGTTCATCTGATTGATTACTATTATCAATATCATCAAAGTTGTTCTCTGGAGTGGTGGAAGAGCAAACAGTGTCATCTTGTGGTGATGCTGAGTTGAGGGTGCTTCCAGGAGCCCTGATCCCATGTTTTCTCGGAGCTCTACGGCCTCGGTGGGTCCTCTTATTGCGTCTAATGCCAAGGTTGCAGATGTTCATCCATGCGTGGTGATTAATCAATTGATGTGGTCTGGTGTTGAGACTATGTAGAGTGTCCGCATCGTAGCAGAGCCGGGTTTGTCTGCGAGTGGCAGGCTCATCTTGGTTGTGTTGGTATCTGTTGTTCTCTTCCTGGGTGGGGCCTGGATTCGGATGGACGTCACCAGACAATAGGATAGCGAACTGGAAGCAGGCAGTGGAATTGCTGTAATAGGCAGTGGGTGCCCCTATGTACTTCACCTCATTTTCCCTCTTTTGGTGCTCTGAGGAAACAATGACTGTCTTCTCACTGCTAACAGAGGAATGTTCATTGCCAGGAGCTGAAAAATACCTGACAATCGAGAGCAATAATAGTAGGCGGAGGAGTTTAATCCACTCCATTGTATCATCATACTAAGTAGATTAGATCAAAAACCTCCAAGAACTTTTAGTTGTAGTCTGACTTTCCCCTTTCACAATAGGCAACAAAAGGCACAATTTGCAATAGAGGTTCACTATCTCTGCATGGGAAGTAATATGGTGGCACAGTGACTTCCAGTGGTGAATCCAAATCAAATATGTTATGGTAAACTGATGATTTAAAGCTGAGTTAGATGACTCCAAAAATTATCTAGTAGCATCACAAGAACTGTATCATTCATACACTGGGCTTTGAAACAAGAATCCACTCCATAGAAAGGAGACAAACATCACAGAACAGAGAGCAGAGATTTGTGGCTACCTCTCAGGGCGCACTACAACCAGGGGGGGGGGGTATTCCCTCCTGGCCAAACTAGTGCAGATAGGCTTTAAAGCCACGATATGTATTTTGATGTATGCCATGTTAAACATGATGATTGCGTTTAGGCAATCAACTTCAATGGAAATATATGAAGGCCTTTGAATGTTCCTGATGTCTTCCTCTTCAGCATTCGTCTTGTTCCACTGCTATATCTTGAATATGAGTGTAATTTAATTACATGAATTATATAATCAATTACATGAATTATGATATGGAATTAGACTGCACTCAAATTCCAAATGAATTTCTCTGCAGTGTGCAGTATTCTAGAGCAAGAGAAACAAGCCCACTCTCAGCTTCAGCAGACTTGGCAGATGGCCAACGACCAGTTCCTAGAATCCCAGAGACTCCAGATGATGGACATGAGGAGGATGGAGAGCGTCCTGACGGAGGAGCAGCAGAGACAGATTGGCGAGGTCCTGAAGAAGGACCAGGAGCGCGAGGAGCAGGAGAAGAAGGTCAGGGTCCTGCAGGAGAAGCGGGAGAGCCTAGAGAAGAGACATTCCAAGGAAACTGCAGAGGTGAGGAGGGAGGGCATCATCTTTCTTTTTATCTTGATTTGATCCTCGAGGGTCGGGGGGGGGTTGACAAAAAAAAATAGGTAGCGATGGGACATTATGCAACTAATGGTGTCGATAAAACTAATAAGGATGTTTCCTGAATGATTTTGAAGTCATATATAGTCGAACCCTTTATATTCTTTTAGAGCAATACTTAATGCTACCACAAGTTATACTCGTATCTACTCATGTGATAGATATGTTGTGTGTCAGTTTTGGAGATACTAGATTAGGCAATATGACAATTGGATACCAAGTATTCATGCTTTCTCAATAAACCTGTCTTTTATGTGAGATCAAGATTGTCTTTATTCTATGGTGTCTCTGAAAGGAGAATCCAATTGTTTTGTTGTAATTAAAAGGGTTTACAGTAGGCTTGCGGTTGCACCATGTGAGAGAGGGGGAGGATTGGGGAGTCCTGAAAAGGACTCTCAGTAATCTTTCTTTCTTGAGTGTGTGTAGTCCTCACAAGGACTGTTGGTGTAATCTTGAAAAAGACTGTTGGTTATCTTTCTTGTTTCTGTTTGTTGTTCTGTACCCATGCAGCAAGAACCTACCCAGCAGGTACCACCCGCACAAACCAACTCGTCTTTGCTGCTGAGCAGAGACGACATCGAGGACAGCGACGACGCCCTCCTGGTCCCCTCCTCCATGGACACGCCCAACAGCTCCACCCCCTCCAGGCTCCACCCATCCATCAACTTTGTCGGCCCCAACGTCGACCCGGAAGAGCTCTTGCAGTTCGACACCACTGATTCGTCCGGTGGAGCGAAGACGACGGTGCATGGCAGCATATCGGAGATAGGCGCGCAGAGTGGACACAACACGTCTGATATGCTGGGCACCAGTTATGATTCTGTATCACTATGTTCGAATATCAGTCTAACGGAGGCACAGGAAAGAGCTATCTCAGGTACAGAAGTCACTTCTCTTTATATCTACAAAACCACACTCCTTTGGAGTATTGTTTTCTTATGAAGCAGTCTTTAGAGCAGGTTATTTGCATCCAAATTATGTACGTAAACAACCAACAATCTGATTGAGTTGTAGAGGGAAAGTTAGGCACTGCCTACTTGAATAGTGGTGAAAATCGGCTGAAATTTTGTTTAAAAATTCTGTTACTCTTATTATTATTAGGTTGATATCACAGTATATTATAGTTCATATATTTTCTTTTTTATAGTCACAAACATAACTGCCTTAATTTTTACAAGAAAAATAATGTTAATGTCAGTTCCTAGTATATACCTCAAAATGGTTGATGTAAGAGTTTGTAGAATGATTGCAAGAGGACTATAACAGTATGAGCCAATTAAGGACTGTCAGATTAATCTCCTGTAAGTGCAAATATGAGTTGTACTTTGAAGGGACTTTGATTTTCACAGATGATCTCAGATTTGTTTGTTTCAGGTCCATACAACCCATCCATGGCATGAGCTACAATTCAGTTTCTCAAAGCTACATTCGCTTGAAATGCAGTTTCGTGACCAGAACTCAAAATCGTCTTTTAACAGTCATTTCTCATGTTAACAAATAGGAACCCCTGAAACAGAGAGATGAAAAGTGTTCTAGCCAGTGAGACTGATCTCTACTCCCTGCTGGCAGGCAAGAGAGTCGTCAGTGATACAGAATGGACAAAACTACAAAGAAGCAGTCATACAGTATCTCTTGTCTTAATTAGTGAATGTAAAACTTGATATATTTTTGTAATTCTCACACTCGTAGGAACCCCTGAATCTGAAGAGATGAAGAGTGTTTTAGCCAGTGCTCGGTCCAAGACTGATCTCTACTCCCTGCTGGCAGGCAAGAGGGTCGTCAGTGATACGGAATGGACAAAACTACAGGAAGAGGTCAGTTCTTGTCATGAAATCCTGGCAATGACATAAGATAACTATATAAAAATGAGAAGTGGTTATAACTGAGTGACACTATTATGTAGTTTACAATGTGTAGTTTTTACTTAACCTGAGCGAACTAATGGTAATTATATGTTGGTAACCATAGTTTGTAGGATATAAACCAAATACCTAACGATATATCAGATAATGCAATATTATCCTTTCATTTTGAAAGTCTGAGTGTAATCAAAAACATAAATTTCTTTTGAGAAAAGTGAGGAATACCCCCTACAATACCATATTTTGAGCCCTATCACCACCTGTGCTTTGAGTTTCACTCCAGTTTACACATATCCATGTATGTGATTGTGTCTTGTAACGATTTCTCTTCAGATACTGAACTTCCTGAGCTTTTATTGTACAATCAATTGTATAAGTCAACAAACATGGCGATCTACATATAAATCAATCTATTTCATGCTTGTATTTCCATTGATGTGAGTTACTTTACTACTTCTATGATATGTAATATATATGTGTGATAATGCACAATGTTTCACAAAGATCCTAAGTTGGAGGTAACAATTATGGAAAGCGGTAAGGGTCTATGAAAATATTTTGCAAAAGATATTTTAAAAGGCATACAATGTTGATTCAAATCATTCATATTGTCTATTATCAAGGAAATTTCATGTCCTTGATGTGGAATTTATAAAAAGTCTAAAATACTTGAATTTTTGCTCTTTAACATATTTTATTTTAAGGCTACTTATGGCTCTCCATAATGTTAAAGTTCAACTTAGAGTTAAGTTCGACTTAGGATCTTTGTGAAACAGCCCCAAGGAGTCTTTGGTGATAACTCGTAGCATCTTTGATATGTTATGAACAGTTAACATTGATTGTACATGTACATGTTTATTTACTCTGATTGCCAGGTTCGGTTTGCTAGAGAGAAGCTGGGCAGACCATGCGACTTGTGTACCAACTATGAGCAGCAGCTGCAGAGTCTTCAAACCAAGTATTCAGAATCCTTGGAGGGTTCAAGAACCCTTAGACAGGTAGTACTCTTTCTAATCCACACACCTGTATATAAAGACCACACAGGGTTGATAACAAAAATGAGCATTAGGGAGGTGGTCTTTAAGTGCAGGTTTAGTTAATCCATGTTTCAGTTAAGAGAGTCTTCAGACCAAGAAGTCAGAATCCCTGAAATATTCATGAACCCTTAGACAGGTATCACTCTTACTGCCCCTGTAAACGTGTATATAAAGACCGCATACGCTTGATCAGAGAATTCTTGGGGTATTGTTCAACCCTTAGCCAGGTATCACTCTTACTATCATGGCAACCTGTATAGAAAGACCACTGAGGAGAGGCAAGAAAAATTGGCTGTATGTAGTTGGTCTTTGTGTACAGGTTTGTTGCTCAATGAGAAACACCGTAATAGTTACTTCAAGGAAAACCAAGAATGTGTTTTTTTTCTTCTATGCCGGTGGTTTCTAAAGCAGGTTAGTAAAAGATATCATGCTTGGCAGAATGGCATAAGAAAGGAAATGTATATTTTTCTCTTTATTTTATCTTTAGCAACTCGAGCAGGAGATAGACAATGTATTGAGAGAGCAGAAGATTCGTTCAGAGTTGGAGGAGAGCTTAAAGAATGCTGCAGAAGATGCACAGATACAGGTAATCAAATAATAACACTCATTTGGCATATTGATTGGGGGAGGGGGTGGATTTTGGATAAAAATTATGAAAATTTTCTTATGTTAATGTGGTGAACTATTTTGTATACAATTAGTTCACCACATAATATTCTTTCCCCAAAATAAAATGTCCTCATATAGAGTTTCTCTTGGATTTCTGCATCCAAAACAGCAAATTATTTGGAGTGGACTTAGCTTTTAAGGAAACAGCTTAAATAAATATATTTTTTAAAGGTATGATGCAACTTTAAACATAGCATTTCACTGTTTTTTTTAAAGATCAAACACCAACAACAATGTATGATGTTGGCACACGTATTATTTGTATTCCATCAATGATAAATTATTTTTTATTTGATTTATTTTTTTTTCTTCTTCATTTCAGATCAAAACACTAACCACCAAGAATGGAGAGTCAGAGGAACTCTTATCAAATCTTAGACTCCAATATTCAAAATCACAAAATGAGATACATTCCCAAATGGTAAGTTTCATCCTATATCTTCTTTCAGGCCTTAGTGTGTTTTTCTTTTAATTTAAGAAAGTTGACATCGTTTTACCTTCAAGGTGTCTTGTTTTTTTAAATTTCTTATTCATTTCTTATTATTTTTATTTAGGGGGGAGGAGTAGGTACCATAATCCCAATAAAATCATTACTCACACCACTTCTTGGGAACTATATATGACGGGAATAACTCTTTTGTGATTCTGCAATGCTGTTATAACTTCTTGACCATTCTTGAATGCTTTTATTCAGACCTGTCTAAATTAAGAAATTTCCCTCCAATTGCTCGTCAGATGTGATCACATACCCATACTTATGTGATCTTCCATGAGGAATATTGAGAAAAATGAGCATTTTGTGATTCCATCAATCTTTCATTTTTTTTAGTTTTTTCTCCTTCTACATGTACATGCAGGAAGGTAAAACCAACTTGAAACCGGAACTCTGATTTCATAGCCAAGAGCTTGTTACATTTCCACATTGTAATTTCACTCTCTCTCTCTCTCTCTCTCTCTGCAGCAAATCCTAATTGAGTCAAGAGAACAACTTTACCAAGAGGTTAGTCAAAAGTGGAAATTGAGAGTCATATCGTGAAATGTACTTGTTGGGTTGTAGTTTTGGCCAGCATCAAAATTGGGTTTGTGAAAACGGATATTTACAACCCAACTTATCAATTTTGTTGTCTCATTTGATATTTTATATGCAGATCTGAAGATTGTACCTTGATTTATTTATGGTGTTCTCCAGGGCCCGTATCCAATTCAATACTTAAGTACAAAATGTAAGCTTTTTACTTAGTATTTGGCTTAGATAAAATACTAAGCCAATTTTGGTATTCAATTCACACTTTTGGTATTTAACTCTAAATCTAAGCCAACTCCATACCAGACTTAAGTCAATTATCTGGAGGCCTTGATTGGCAGGCATATGGTTTTCTTACGCAGTCTTATAACCTGCACAAAATTCTATCAGCGCGCATTTATTGCAATGCATCAATCACGCATTACTTTTGATGGACCGTGTGACAATGCTTATCAGTACATTTTTACTTAGATTTTGTCTTACGTAAGTATAAGTCTAAAATGCGATTTGAATACGAGATATGTAAATTACTTAACTTAGCCATTTACTTAGTAAATTTCTTACTTATGCTAAGTGTTGAATTGAATACCGGCCCAGATCTATTTCTGCTGAGAAACTATAGAAATGAAATAAAAAATGGAAATGTTAATGACTGTTTTACATTTTATCATGATTATGTGTGTGATATTTACCTATATTTTTAATGATGAAATATTTCTGCAAAAAAACTTATTTTTTGTTGTTGTTTGTTTTACAGGTAATGAAATTACAGAAAGAGAACGACAGTCTCAGTGCCAAAAGGTCGTTGCATCAGTCACTTCAGAGCAGTGAGCCATTCGACTTGCCAACATCTCCACAGGTTTGTAGGATAGAATCAGAAATAAGTAGTTTAAAAGGCTCAATGGAGCAAGTTGATGATCATGAATGGTGATGAGGTTGTAACATCAAGACATTTGATTTGCTATCAACACCACAGGCTCACATATGTTAGAGGTACACTCTAAGAACGACCAATCACAACAAATATTTTGCTGTGAAAAGTTGTTGTGTCTTTTTAAAACAATACTTCCACTTGTGTACCGTATCATGGAATGCAAGGCTAGGTCATCAATGAAAACAAAATTACATCACTTTTATGAGCATGAATTCATTTTTTGTCACTGGATCGGGCAATTAGAAATAAATGACAAATGTCTGCATACCTGCATACTGTAACTACAGTCAAACCTGCTTTTTATAGTGACCCCCTATATAGAAAAAAACACCTGTCTATAGAGACCTCTTTTTTGTTTTCCCTTGAAAATGGTTTCTCATTGAAACATGAACTAAAGGAACCTGTACATGAAGACCACCTGCCTGTAAAGACCACTTTTCTTGCCTTCCTTAGGTGGTCTTTATAGACAAGTTTCACTGTATATTAAAACATTGTTGTGACTATGTATACTCTGCACAGGAGCTTTCCCATCTGTGCATGAAGTACCGTGACGACATCATCACGGTCCGAGTAAATGCTGACCACACCGAGAGCTCACTGCGAAGCGAGCTTAGCTTCACCAAGGAGCAGCTATCATCAGAGCAGCATCAACGCATGACCATGGAAGACACCTACCAGACGGAGCTGGACGATTACAAGGAAGAACTACGTGAGTAGGACTAGATTGTTACCAGAGATCCACGTCTGGTCTCGTCTAAATTCTAAACATCCATATTCTGGTTTTAGATTGTCTTTCCAGAAGTATCAGGTTTAGTTCTTCAATTCAATTCAGTTAAACGCCTCTTTGGTTAATTCAAGCAATGCTTCCTGATTGAGCAGTTTATGCATTAATGAAACGCAATTGAATTCATGATCAAATTTTAAACCAGTAGATTTCTGGGTCCCGTCTTATTGCGATTAATTTGAATCAATCACAACTCTGTATAGTTATGAGGTACATATATAAATTGTGATCTACCAGAATCTACCTGCAACTAATGATTATAATAATAATAATAATACAAACAGTGCTTATAAAGGGCTTACCGCCAAAGTCTCTAACTATAAGTGCTATAACAATCAAAATACAATGATAAACAATTACATATTAAAAAGAACAAAACATTACAAATAAACCTACAAATTACAATACATATGAAATATACACCAATGTGAACAGAGTAAGTTAATCATCAAAAGCAATTTTGAATAAATGTGTCTTAAGACAAGTTTTGAATGGGTTGACAGTCTGCCATGTAAAAATCATGCAATATGTTTGCTCATAAAATCCTGATCGTAATTTTAATATTTAATATTGTTTTTAATCGTTCATATTTTAGTTGTATTCCGGAACTTGAGGGAAGAATATGAGAAAGAGAAGAAAGCCAGAGGAGAGGTGGAAGAGACCTTGAAAGAGGTCCAGGAATCTAAGAAATCTATGCAGGGCAAGTCCAAAGAGGTCATCACCACACTTAGAGAACAGGTGGAAGAATTGTCAGCCCATAAGGTAAAGCCTACCTCTTTTTGTCACCATAGATCGAAACCCTGGCTTGTCACTTTGTTAAGAGTACATTAAACACGTACACTGTGTGTGACGAAAGTCGACTGTGGCAGTCCATTGTTTGCTCCATTGGTCCACAAAAGCAGATAAAGAGTTAAAGCGATACACTGATGAGCTTTCTGCCCTAGCATACTGTGTATTGCACAGCGCCATCTCATGTTCAACTTGCCAACAATGCAGTGAGAATTGTGTAGTACGTAAGAATTATTGTGTATTTTGAGGTGTAGAACTCATCAAAATTATGTAAAATAAACTCAATTAAGTTCACTCTCATATAGTGAAAAGTACTTCACACAGATATGGGATTACACTCAAAATGTGGCATCAGAATTTGGTCAAAAATATTATAATCATTTCTCATATCTGGAACATTTCATCACATCGAAGGTAACCTTATTTGTGTTACATTGCTGCCACGACATCACCATGGAAGTAAAAAAAAAAATAGCTCAATATTTATGTTTGTTACTATCATAACTCAACCTTTTTTTAAAGTCAGGTCTTGGGGGTCCAAAAGTCAAATATAATTTTGGGATCCAGCCTTGTGATGGTGTTGTTTCCAGTTTATGAATAGATTACCTAGTGGCAGTTATCAATAATTAAGAAACTAAGAATTTCTTGTAATAATTTTATTATGTGTAAAGTGTAATTGTATAGTTACCAAGAAGAAATTAATATGTACATATATTTTTTTCATAATTTCTGTAATAATATCAGTAATACCTTTATTAATCTTTCTGTTGGAAATGAAATAAATACAAATTGAGTTGAATTGAATAATTTTTTACGGAGTATCAGCATTTTTATCACGTTGTAAGCATTTTACTTATTGTACAAATAAATAAGTAAAACTTGATTTGCTATTCTCTGCCTGTTTATGAAATATCAGATGCAGTAAGATGATTTTCTCCCAATTTAGATATTTGATATCTAATCTTTTTCTTCTTTTGTAATCAACAAACCAATAAAATGGAATGTTGAGTTATTACGAGAGGAACAGGTCAAGTCATTTGATGATTATTTTTTTTCTCTTTCAGGCAAATATAGAAGCCGATTTGCAGGATAGGAGGAACAAGGTTCAGAACCTCCAGTTAGAGCTAGAAAACTCAGAGGCTGTGCAGAAAGATTTTGTCAAATTATCACAATCACTACAGGTCAGTGGCTGATCGATCTATCTAAATTGGCAATGATTTCAGTATAAATTCCTCCCCACAGTTGTGCAATTTTAGAAATAAATTTTGGTGAGATGTGTAATTCTAATGCAATGACATTACAGTCGTCTTGGAAGAAAAAAGTTGAATGAACACCTAACACTTCTTCTAATTCCATAATTGACATTTTGAGAACACGGGGGTGTTTCACAAAACTTTTCATCAGTGACAAATAACAGTTTTTGTTATAAGCTACTGAAATCCTTGCTTTTGATTGGTTATCAACAGATTTGTCACTGATTTTTGTCATTTGTCATTAAAAAAAGGCTTTGAGAAACGGGTCCCAGAACAGTTCTTGAATTTGTCATTATTGATATAAACAATTATTCCAAGATCTATATAGGAGGCAAGTTGGCTCAGTCTCTAAAGCGTCTGCCTGTCGAACCAAAGATCCCGGGTTCAACTCCCATCCAGGCGGAGGTTATGTTAAGTGGAAAACACTCTGTCCCTCGGATAGGACATAAATGGAGGCGCCGTGTAGAGAAGAGTCACTACCTTTGCACGTTAAGAACCCACTGCACTATTAGTATAAGAGTAGGGGGAAACCTCGGTGCAGTGGTCCACCTGCACACACCCCCAGTATAGTACGATAATACTCTGTAAAGAGGTCTGTACTAAAAAAAATTGAGCATCACAGTATTTTCATGGATAATCTTCTGTTATATTTCTTTCTAAAAAATAGTTTCACTGAAAATTGTTTATAGTCCTATACCCTTATTTATGTGTTTGTAGTCCCACAAGCTAATAGTTGTGTTGGTATTCATTCCTATGTAGGTTCAGCTTGAGATCATTAGACAGAAAGACAATGAGGTCAGATGGCAGCATGAAGATGATGCTGATAAGTGCAATAATTGTAAGACAGCCTTTGGATCAAGCAAAAAGAAAAAGGTGAGAACTGTTGCAATATTTGAAGACTTAAAAGAATTGGGTATCTGTGTCTCAGATTCTAAACAAAATCCTTGATTTTAATGATTTAGCTCATGCTGCATTCATAATTATAAACCTTTAGGTCAGTCAAGAATTCTATGATGTTTACAAGCCGATCACCCCTCGGATTATCAAGATATTTTTATAACACTACAGTCTATTGGGAAAAATGAGTATGGTAAAACCGGTCACTCAAATATTTTTACTTTTTGAGGCACTTCATGATCATTTTGAAGGGCAATTTTTTACGGCGTCAATATTACACCATATCACAGACGATGATAACACGTAGGGCCATGCATCTCAGATTTGGCATTGTTAAACAATATATATATGTATAATTGTAAGAAAATTCAAAAGTTACAAAACATCTGATTATTACTAAAGCTACATTCAAATACTGGTGAAAAATGTTCATGGCACCAAGTGTGTGTGCAATTGCATAACAAGACTCGCTATTCATTAATAAGATTTTATTTCTTTTTCGGTGTGTGTGTCTGTAACTGGGTTTTTACAGGCGTGTATCAATCAGATATGATTATTTACGTCTGGGGACCGTCCTTTAACGTCACCATCCGAAAGACGTGACTCAGTTTCGAACCTGCGTCTTCGGCTGAATCAGTTGGTAACATCCATTGTTAGCTGGATTACAGGCGCACCCCACAATGCCCCGTTTCTTCTTTTAAAAAAGTAATTTTTCCTCCTTAATTTCCAGAACCACTGTAAGCATTGTGGGAAGTTGTTCTGCGCAGACTGTGTGACCAAGTCTGTTGAGAGTGGGCCGAGGAGGAGGAAGATGCCCGTCTGTGATGTCTGCCATACACTGCTGGTCAACGAGTCAGCACCTTACTTTAGCAAAGAAGCGCCGGACAACACGTAGCAGAGCCAGCCCAGTAGTAGAAATAGAACCAGTAGAATTCTTATTGTAGACATAGAATATACAGTGCGGCCCAGAAAAAACGAAACCGAGAATTATTGATGTTTTATCATAACTTAATCACAATTATAATTAATAAATGACACATATTTGTAAAGCTTAGATCTTCCTCTTTCGTTTGATGCAACTCATATGATGCTTATTTTAGGCATGAGTGATTAAAATTAATTTGAAGAGAGGGAACCAAAAAGTCATTTGGCGGACGGTATCTGAATTTCAAAAAGAAATCACTGTTCTAGAAAGTTCAGTTGCTGCCCTTTCATATGACACATCAATCAGGAAAAATGAGCTAGGAATAACAAAGTTCTGTGTGTCTAAAGTAGTGCTTGCATTTACATAATTTCATTAAACCAATTCGTTTTCACTGGCTGCCTGCCATAGCAACCAGCAGCATTGATAAAAGACTTAACTCCGTTTCGTTGACAATCAGCCATGCATGAAGTCTTTCGTCTATGAAAGAAATGAAAGAAGAGGATTTAAGCTTTACAAATATGTGTCATTTATTAATTATAATCGTGAATAAATTATGATCAAACATCGATGATTCTCCGTTTCGTTTTTTCTGGGACGCACTGTATAAAATGGTTAGCTTTTTCTTTGTAAGTTAGCAGGTTTGTAAGAATAGAGATACAGAATTTAGAGTAGCATGTTGGAATGTGATGATAGATATGTGGTAAGAATGAAACTTTATCAAATATGGTTTCTTCTCAAAAGTGTAGACAACGGCATTATTACATTTGTAAGTCATTGTCATGTTGTATTCAATGAATTCTATATGAATTGCTTTTTTTTTAATAGTATTACTCCCCTTATTTGCACATGTAGGAATCACTTGTTGATTGCTGACTAGTCACTTTCTATAAATGATATTCACACACGATATTATGCACAATTTCAAAGAAAACAACTTTCTAAAATTAAGATTAACATTATCAGCCGTATTTTTGCCAACAGATTGAATACACATAGCTTATGGAGTGCCAAGTGTTCACCTCTGAATTCCACTCAGACATTATTTCTTTGTAACAATTTCTTTCTTTTTTTTTTTCTTTTTTTAATCGCGGAATTGAGATATAAACAAAAGTTCTCCTCATTAAACTATGAGGAATATGTCTCGTTGCCATCTAAAAATTCAATTTAAAATTTCTCAAAGTTTGCTTCCAAACTGTCTCTCAATAGTGTCCTTTCTTTCGATCAAGTTGAATTTTGAATAGATATGAATAGTTGATATAGTAATATTATGATCATTATATTTTAACTTATCTGACTATATTTGAGCTTTATATTCAAATTTTCAAAAATTTGCCATATTGATTCCTTCCATTCATGTTTGAAAAAGTATGATCATTTTTTGTCAGTCATATACTGTCCACTGCTCCGAACTATACCTAATACACTTTATGAAAGTTGTATCCTTCAACCGGTCGGATGCCATTTTATTTTGCTTTAACAGTCATTCCCCGAAGAAATGTGTTTTGCGGGGTTGGTATTCAGCATGTTAAGATATACACAGCAATATAGACTCATGCAGAAGATGTTTAATGCGTTATAGGCACACATGTACTTTTTAAGTAAACAGTTATCCATGTATTTACATTTTTGCCTCACACAAAGTAATGACCATTTTCAAACAAAATTAGTATCACTACTACCAAAGAAGGGTAAAGGAAGGGTTATAGCAAATCTAGCTTTTATTAGTAATGTGTTGTGTTTTGGTCATAAAATATTTCCAAGTGTGTTTGATTGAGATATTTTTGTTCAAAGGCAAATGTATTCATTACCAAATTTAGTTATGTGATTGCATATCTATTTCTAGTGACATGTGTATGCCATTCGTGTTTAAGTTATTAAGTTTAGTTTGCCTGAATTGAATGTCGGAATTTTGTTTCCTGGATAAAATTCAGTGTAGCTCCCTTGGCCCTTCTGTTTGCTATTAAAATATTTGTTTCTTCTATATGAGACGCTGCAGCATCGATTCATTTAATTCCTCATTTCTGTAATGCAAGCCCACTTAATCATTACTCCTCAATTGCAAGCTTAGGATGCTCTCTTACTAATTATATATAGAGTTTCGAAACAAAATAGATACCCACAAAACGGTTTTCATGATCGAACATGTATGTATAGGGATTTTTACATTCATAGAAATCCAGACTATGCTTTTTAGATGTTTGGAATTGTCAAATTGAAGTTACTACAAGTACATGATTTTGAATGTCTATTAAACTTAATCTTTCTTCTAAAGCCCCACTGCACTACTTAAAGCTACTTGCGCCCTCTATAGCATACAATGCCTAAGCGGTGACCGTTGGTCCCACATGGTCCCCTTTTTTCCTTATGTTAATTGAGAGCTGATTTGATGAGAGAACCACATGTCAGTGACCATGCAGTGAGGTCTAATACCTCCTTGCCAAACTAGTGCAGATAGGCTTTAAGAAAGATGTATCTCAAGATTATGTTCAGTGCTGCTTGTATGTGTGGTTTGAGAAATCATTTTCCTCAGTATTATTTGTATTCTGATAATATATATGTTGATATTTTTGTTATACTATATATTATGTGCTTTTCCCTCAATAATCAACCATTGTTTGCATACGTCACAGCAAACTCATTACTTTTTAGTATTTATTAATCTTCACTTCTTGATATACATGTATGTCCATTATTCTTCTAGCTGTTTAGTGTAAGAACCTTTTAAAGCCGTTGTTACCACATACATGTCTGTCATCTACTTAATTAGTCTCTTTCCTTTTTTAACTCTTTCATCTTTTATGCACCTGAAGGTCACTTATACTATGTGTCATTATCATGCAAAATATTTCTTTGTATGATTATACTTTGACAGAGCTAAAATAATTTGCTACATGTATTTTGGATCGGCTTCCAATGTTGTACTGAGATGCTTTTAGTCTCTGTCATCTGTAGAGATAATGATCTTCTTTTCACAGGAGGAGTGTTGATATGTGTAAATATTAGTATATAAACTATTAACTAGCATGATCATATATTATGTTATATGCAGTATATTTGTATATTTGTAAATTATTCAATTAACACGTGCAATGTATCATGTAATAGTCAGATTTGTGTGGAAAGTACCCCTATAATGTATCCTTACTAGCATCCTTCATTAATTTTGTTTGTTATATAAAGGTAAATGTTGTCATTATTTAATTTATTACCCTTTATCTTGTCTTTAACAGTAATAATTCCATCAAGTGGTAGTTAGGTTCATACTATAAGAGAAAGGAGTGAGAACAGTAAAGACATGAGCAATTTTACAAATACAAATGTCTACCTGTTAGAGATCCCTGGTAGATATAGCAATCGGTATATTTTAATTATATTTCATTCTTTTCTTTGTTTATCCTCTTCCAGTCAGTAAGGTACCTACTTACAAGTAGCAGAGACTATTTGCTCATGTTGGATCATGTTGAATCTTGGCAAATTGTAGCCTCACTGAAAACCTTTTTATATATATATATATATATATATATATATATATATATAAAAGGGGCCCTTCCTGTGAAAGTACAACAAGACAAGAGAGGGCGGGCATGTCCTGGATGTAATAATTCAGTTCATGCCTACCCTGGTGAAAAAGACAGATGTTGATTGGTCAGATTTGCTACGTATTAAACTACTGTAGTTCGATATGCAACATTTTGTCAAAGCTACAAACCTAAATACTGGTACACACTATTATGCGATGAGTGCATCAATATGAGGATAAAATTCAATATTTATGTGTTCATTTTGTGATGTGTAGATATTGACACCACACAATAATTTACAATACACCTGTATTCAAATTAAGTAGTTTGCTCCATGAAATTTTAATTTCTAATTGTTATCACTTCAATATCACAGTTTGTAAAATTCTTGTTTTAACATTAATCTTAAGTACTGGTGGTTGAGAAAAAGTAAACCTTAAGTGTTTATCTGACAGAAGTTTGGTTGTTTGAATCAGCAAAATGTGAACAAAATCACAACAATTTTGCTGGAAATCACAACTCCCTGAAATTACATTGTTTTGAGCTGTACATGTGGTCGGACAACAAGTGCTGGTTTACATTTTCTTACAAGTTTGTATGTCAGCAGAGGTATATAGTCTGTTAAATCTACATAAGTTTTGGTAAATTCTGTAAAATCCTAGATTCTGTCATTATCAACACTCAAGATGACATTAAGGTTTGTTGCACTATGTGACGCAGATAGATGCTACGCATCATGTGTTCACAAAAATTACAAATCTTCCTACAGGTATTGAAATAGTTGAGCATTTATGTCTACTTGTATAGATGAAGTGCTGTAAAAGTTAAGTTATCTACTTATTTTTAAATACAATTTTGCTCTCTTCGTGCTGTAGGAAGATGAAAATCCAAACTGCCAGGCTTTGTAGTCCTGGGCTTATTACACTGGAATGACAGATGTAAATAATCGTTTTTATTATTCCCTTTTTACAGTACACTAAAAAAGAAAACTAACTGCTTTTGATATTGGGGTTTCCAGATACTTTCCTCTAGTGTCTGATATATAAGTAGCATCAAAACAAAATTTATTTGAGTTTTAACTCTAAAATGTCAGTGTTTAGTATTAGTATTGAATTTAGGAATCAGATTTTCAGATTGACTGTTCGAGCAAACTTCACCCATTGACCAATGTGCTAGTCAACTATTTAATTTGATATGCAATCAACATCCCATGTTGTTTGAATGACTCAACAGGCTTTGTCTAATACTCTACTTGTGCTTGTAAAGGAAATGTTACACTTTCAGGTTTTGTTCAAGATTTAGTGATTAAAATACTTGATAAAACTGCAATTTATTTGAAAGGGCTGAATTTCAGTACTTATTTGTGTGTATTTGTGTTTTCTTTTACAGTTTTCATTGAGATAAATTAATATTGATTTGAAATATTAAACATGTACAATGTTTAAGATTGAGAGATAGAAAGTAGAAACACCTATATGGAGAAAGAGGGAGAGATAGAGATCCAAAGGGATAGAGAGATATATAGATCCGAAAGGAGAGAGAGAAAGAGAGAGATAGAGATCCCATGGGAGAGAGAGAGATATAGATCCGAAAGGAGAGAGAGAGAGATCCCAAGGGAGAGAGAGATGTATAGATCCAAAAGGAGAGAGAGAGAAAGAGTTAGAGCAAGGACAGAGACGCACACAGGGGGGGAGCTTTCTAATGTGAGTAGATTTTAAAATTAAGAAGCATAACAAAATGCTATAGTAGCGCATAATACAAAAAATACAAAAAAGCGTCCCTAACTATCTATTTGACTTACATGCACTGAACTTTTACATGATCAAAGTCCATCACTACAACAATTAGGCTAGCAACCAGAGTAAAATGTTTACTCATCTAGAAATTTACTAGTACTTTGGAACAACAATAAATCCGTCGAAATAGTTTGAAAAGACCACTAGCAGACGACGCTACTAGGAGAATAAAGAATAGACAGTTGTTAAAGAACTAATAGAAATTCATCCCCTGACTTCAGGCTTGATAATCAATACGGGCTACTAATTTTGATCATTTAAATACGTGTATCAGCAGACGTTATTGTAATTTGATAATTTTGTTTGTAAAGTTGTGATTGAAAGTAAGCAAAACGTATACAATAGCGCTTTACAATAAGGGAATCCAATCAGCTGTCTATTTTCTTAATTTGTTATATTTAAATGCCGTACGCCACATGTTACGACATGTTGTTTACATATGTATTAGCCCATCCGGATTCCTATATAGAAGTAGCGCATTATCAAGAACAACTAGATCTATTTGTCATTACAATTTACAAGTGAAGTCAGTGAGTGAGGTTTAACTTTTTGAAAATGTCGAGCAAGGTAGTATCACAGCAGTTAATCACTGATCAATTCAGCCAGCAAAGATCAGGGCGAAGTCTTGAGAAATCTAAAGGAAAAGGCAAGCAAATAGTTGGAAGTCCTGCCGGGAGCCCGAGAAAATCTGCAGAGGCACAAGTCGAAGGTGAGTACCCGACGCTTGGGGCGCAGCAGCAGCGGGCTGGGCCGGACTGCCATGTTTCTAGTGTAAATGGGCAGGCGTTATGAAACTTGTGTTGTAACTAATGCAAATCTTTATTCACGAAATGTTGGAGATAATATTTGTGAAATAAACCCCTCTCATACTAGATACAACAATTGAACAAATGTTTGGGTCCAATTTACCTGACACTTGACTTTGCGATAAACTTACAGCAAATCTCAAAAAATTTGTGTCCTCACATCTTCACATGATCTTTTGCTTTCATTCGAAAAAAGGACATGTAAAGCAAACTCCGGACTAGACGTAATGACCTGATGATTCAAAGTAAGCCCTCTAATCTTTGTATATTACTTTGTTGTTGTTTTTTTCAGTTGAGAGTGCAGAGGATTTGATTAGGAAGAAGCATCTCCAAACACTAAGAGAATTTGATCTGAATTGGAGATATGGGCCTTGCACCGGTAGGTTTATCACCCTGCGTTATGATGTATTATTAAAGAGGATATTTCTGTAAAATAGAGGAAATACAAAATTGCAATACAGTGACCGTACAGTTCTGAGCTGAGCAGATTGTTATTTCCTTCACATTACCAGGCAATTTGAAGTTTGAAGTTTTGAAGTTTTATTTATTCCACATTTTACATAGAAAAACAGTTTATATTCTTTTTTTAATTTTTTGTATACAGGCATATATTATTATAAGAGTAGATTTCACACAAGAAGAAAAAATAAAAAAATCAAAGATTTAAAAACAAATATAATGTAGATCTATGGAAAATAAGTACGAAATTTCAAAATATGTAGACATAATGGGCAAAGTAGAACAATGTAATTTGAATTGTATAGCTGCATGTAGTATATATACCCTTCAAGTTTTTATTTTACTTAAAATATTCTCATGTGGGAACCTCAATTATTTGTGTGAACATTCTATATGGTTCTGAGCAGACTTGGTATTTCCTCCATCTTGAAGGACTACCATACCAGGCAATTTGATTTTTATTGCAGTATACCCTTCAATTTATATTTTATTTAAAATATTCTCATTTGAGAATCTCCATTACTTGTTTAAATATTTGATTTTCAAATCTAATGATAGACCTATTCCTGTTTCTTTAAAAAAATAGAATTCTAGTGGATCATATTTATTCATATATATATATATATATATATATACATATATATATATATATATATACACACACCTAGTGTGCATAGTGCTTTATTCAACATAATATTTATCATTATTGCTTATGATTTGCTCTTGGTTTGTAGGAATCACTCGTTTAGAGAGGTGGGAGAGAGCAGAGAGCCATGATCAGAATCCTTCACCTCAAATCAAAGATCTCATCTTAGAACATGAAGATGATGAGGATTATGTCCAAAAGTAAGTGAAACACCCTTTCTTTCCTTCTTTAATTTTCTTCCCTTAAAGACCCACTGCACTACTGGTAGCTACTTGCGCCCTCTATATAACAAACAATGCCTAATCGGTGGCCATTGGTCCCCCATGATCCTCTTTTTCTTATGTTAACTGAGAGCTGAGTTGATGAGATAACCACCTGTCCAGTGACCTTGCAGAGCGGTGTAATCCCTCCTGTAAACTACGGCAGATAAGCTTTAATTTCCTTTTGTTTAATTTTGTTCTTCACTTTTTCTTAAGTCAGTCTCTTCACTTCTTGCTTTGATTATATTTAAGTTTTATATGAGAGCTACAGTATAGTATCTAAATTGATTCTTACATTTACATATGAATAAAATATTCTGATATATTTTGAAAAAAAGCGAATAAAATTTATTTCACATACATGCTCAAAAGGATGATATATAAAGCCACTCAAGATCAATTAAGAAATTAGTACCTTTTTGTGTGGAATGGATACTACAATTTCCAGCATCATTTTAATTTTTCCAAAACACAAATATCGGCATGGTGCCAAATTCTCAAGCTCTATCAAATCACTGCCATTTGAAAGACGTATAAATCCTGTGTTTCTTGCTAAGTAAATCGTATCAGTGTGTATTGTATTATTAATTCATATGCAATATATACATGTGCAACATATACATGTGCAACAGTGCCATTTCTCAGGCTTTTGTACTGATTTTCCTGAAACTTTTTTTGAAATTCCAAACCATTTTCCCTGCAATTTGTTCATGTATAAATTTTACACTATGAATCATGCATCAAATGTATATTCCTTCATAAATCATAAAAATTGATGTTTGTTATGTTATTATTATTTTTATTTTTTTTTAATTTTCAGCACCTGGTCTTCTTACCCTCTATGATTGGCAAGACTTGAAGCCTTGTTCACATGTGTGACTGTGCCAAAGATACTATTGGCTCTTCTGTGACATCTGTATACTGTACCTACAAGAACTGAAATTCCAACCGTCATCTGAATGCAATGTTTACACGTAAGCCTCATCTAAACCCTTCTGATACTACGGTAGAGATATCTCAGGGCATTATCATGGTATTGGTATTTTTTCTCTCTTTTCAGTAAATTTATTTGAACTCGTGGAATCATATTCTGTCCAAAATTTAAACCTGACGCTGGGTTAAATATTTTGTCCAAAATCAGGTTTAGCAAAGGAACTTTAATAGGCTGAGGGTTGATTCTTTTAAAACAAAAATTTAGATCTAAAGCAAGTTTTAACTGAATTCATGTGGACCATCAATTTTGACAGGATGGATTTATTATATTTGCTTGAGGACTATTTCAAAGTCGTGTCGCACAATAATGTATATTATCTACTTGATAATGGTATTATAGTTACATGCTCATGAAGTATTGCAGTTTTAAGTTTTTAATGTGAATGAAGGCCAACTGTGGTCAATGCTGCATTGAATTACAAGCCACTTGTAATTCTAAGCTTTTCCTGAAATACTGAGCATTTTAATTTTTATCATATTACAGGATATTTGTTTATGGTTTAGAAGAACATTCTTATTGATCAAAGAATATCATGTTACAGTAGATACAGTATCTTCCTGGATAGTTACCAGATTTTTAATATTTTTTAAATTTCTTTTTTAGGTCTGATATATTCCAAGTATCTTTCACTTGCCCAGTTTGAAAATAACAAATTCTAATAATAATATAAGAATAATATAAGAATAAAAAGTGCATGCATCATTGTTGTCATAGTATTCAAGTGCATACATTAGGTGTTGGTCAAATTTGATAACATCTGTGCCATTTTCTATGTACTGTGAGTAGCATTTTAGGTTGTCTGTGGGAAATAAACAGAGAGTTTTCTTTAAAATACATAAAAATGTTACATTCCTGTACAGATAGAATGTCACTTTGTTCATAATTTACTTGGTATTAAAGGTTTTTAAGAATGAAATATTAAACTAAAAGTTTAGTTGCTCCCAGCATTACTCTTAGAGTGACCCAGAACTTTGTACTGTTCATACAAGTTTTATATTGCCTGTTAAATTTTTATATTCACAATCATGTGTCTTGTAACATGACTGTCTTTTAAAGGTATAGACCAGTTCTGGTCATGCGATTGCATTGTGAAAGAAATTTTTGTGGAATCGATTAGAAAAGGTTGATCATCTAGCATATAAGTATTAGTGTGTACTGCAAGGTTTTAAAATCATAAAACTGATAAGAAATTTGGCCCAGTCTTGGTAAAGTTACAAGCACTGTACACAGAAAGATATATATTTTGGACTACCCTATGTCTATCCAGTCCGGATAGATATAATAATTTACAAAATATATCAATTAGCAGACGGTTTCCCGGCAAAATTTGTATCATCATGTATTAGTCAAAACATATTCTTTCACATGATTGGTAATAAGAGCTTCCATTTCATTTTTGAGAGGGGTGGGGGCATTTCAAAAACTGGTCTTTACCTTTAATCTGGTAGGGTATTTCAATAAAAGAGCTATTTATTCACTTTTGGATGTCTTTTACTGCTGTGCACCTTTGCAATTTTGTGAGAATTATAGGGAGCATTGCAGGTATTCTATCAATAAGATTTAATAAACAATGCTTTGATATTTTTATAAACATTTTATATAGTGTATGGTGAAATAATTTAAAGATGTGGAACTTTTGTGTATTAAAATGGTTTTAAAGTTTAGGGCTTGGAATACACATGTACATGTAATTATTAATTATGAAGAATATGAAGAAATATATTTCAGAAACAAATATGTGCATAAAATAGAGTTTTATTCTAAATTCATCCATCTAAGCTGCTCGTTGTATTCTTTAATCTGAAGGATTTGTTGAGGTTTAATTTTAATGTAAAGTTTCATTGCATTTACTAATGCTTTTACTTATTATATTTTTATTGTACTAAAACTAAACTATGTGTTCATGTATTTTGTATTCCTTAATAAACAGTGTTGTATTATTGTATTATTGTATTATTGTATTATTCTCTTTATCTTTTGCATTTTTCAGCTTTATTTGATTATGTGCTAAAGTATATAAAAAGAGATATTTGAAAACTTAAGCTTGACTACATCATATACATGTATATGCTTCTGATGTTTTTTTGTGTTTAAGATATTATGCTTCTTTTTCACATACATGTACAAGCTTTAATATGATTTAACACATTGAAAAATTTTATAACATTATGCAGCTGTCATCTTTCTCTCAAATAAATGTATGCTATTTACTACATTTTTTCGTTAAAAGCAGTGATTATCTATGTAAAATATGTATCTCACTAAGTTTTTAGTGTTTATGAACAAATGTAATAAATGTGTTTTATACAAAAACAAATATGTTTTGTATTGCTCCGTATCCTTTATATCTTTTTGTATATTTTTATTTTCATATAATTCCATCTCTCTCTCTCTCTCTCTCCCTCCCCCTCTGTCTCTCTCTCTCCCTCCCCTCTGTTTGTCTCTCTCTCTCTCTCTCTCTCTCCCTTTCTCTCTCCCTTTCTCACCAACTCTTCTCTCCTCTCTTCTGTACCTCTGATTCTCTCATCCGTCTCTGTCTTTCTTTATGTGTCTCTGCCCCTTTCTCATCTCTTCTTTTTTCCTCTCTCATTCTTGGTATTTGTCCAAGAACAAACATTTCACTCCACTCTTACATGTACTGCCATTTTCTTCCGATTTACCAGCTGTCATCAGTTTGACATGAATATCCATGTCACAGACTGGCACAGTAGTAGAAGTATATATAATAACATAATTACACTCAAATCCGAAATGGAATTTAGTAAAGCATAACCTTCCACCATCTTTATTACATTGTAAGAGAATATTGTACAATATTAAAGCGAACATCGATATGGTGCGAATCACATATAACATGAAAATGCGATCAGAACACAAAAGCGTGCAAATTGATTCTGAAAGACTTTATCACTCTTAACTACATTAGTATAACTTGCCGTCTTAGCAATCGGTTAAAATAAATCGTTTATCACATCAAATGAACTACATTCATGCTATGAATACAAAGGGTTATTATATGAAGTACTAAATGAAGGGAAAATGTATAATGAAATGTATACTAATTTTTGTCCTTTTATAAACTGATAAAAAAACATTGTAAATAAACATGATTACTATGTGCGAGCATGATATATTTCTTCTACCTGTCATTGTGTCCACAGGTCCTATATTCATATTTCATACAATAATCACAACAGGATAAAGAATGCGATGTTTTAAGAATAAAATGGAAAATAAACAGAGATCCCTGTATATTTCATTATATATTTTCTTTACAGCATTTCAAATCACTTCCTCAAAATTAACTACAAAATAGTGAAGCAGGTTTCGTTATTCGTAAGATACAAATGAAATTGGCTTTCCACAAGTGTCATGTGCTATGATGAACAGGTGAATTATTTTTAATCAAAGACATCTGACAAATTAATTCTAAATAATGCATACAGAATATTCCCATCGATTTTTAAATTGATAGCTCTTCCTTAGTTAAAAGTCATCAAGCTACATCACTAACTTAACAGGATTAACTGTTCGAATATGCTATTATAATTAAGAATGTTAGCAGTCATGATTTTATTTATTACGAAATTTGCATACATGTAGTTTAATTCCATTAAATATGTGCATATATATAAAACACGATCATGTACAAACAAACAAAAATACATCTTGAATTGTCTCGGCCAGCACATCAAAGGTCCTTTTTAAAGAACAATAACTTGATTACTGAATTACTACTTCATTTAACAGAAACGACCACCATTTTGCTTATGGCACGCGCATACTGTAAATTGTTCACAACGCGTATTTTACGATATAGGCTACACATGCCAGCTCCAACTTGTTTGGTATTTTGCCAATCAAATCTACTATAAGACTGTTGAAGTTATCCTTGGGTAAGTATGTTGTCTGCGGTACTGTTATTCAACACAAACTTGGCTCCATTTTTAGATCTTCTGCCTCAACTCTTGTATTGAATACAAAATATGAAAGACCCGGGAAGAAAGAAGAGGGAATGTAGAATGAAAGAGGTGATGGGGGAGGGGAGGATAAATATAGAGGGGAAGATATAGATATAGAGAGGGGTTGATAGAGAGAAAAAGAGAGATACAGCCACAGAGAGAGAGAGAGAGACTCACGTGACTACAGTGGGGTCTGGTCGTCGGTTTCATTCATTCCTGTAAAGAAAAGTATAATGATTATCAACTATAGAACAACATGTATGCACTTAAATCAATTATTAAACCCGATTACTTTCATTTTATGTAAATAGAATAACATGTACTTATATAAAAACTCGTCTCAGCCAGATTATTCACAAAGGTTCAGAGTTATTTATTGATAACTTATATATGATTTTCATCTATTCATAAATGAGTTTAAACATATTTTGTCTAGTCTCCGTGTTTCCACTCTTGTCACATCCTCTGTCCTCTATCTCTTTAAGGTCTTTCATATATTTCCCTTTAAAGATAATATTTTGTTTAACTTCTCCTTCTTTCCCTCCTCTTTCCTCACGTCTTTACATCAAAAGCTTTCTTTTATTCCCATAGTTACAACTCGATCATGCACCGGATTGTTGGCTCAGTCAGTAGAGCTTCCCCATAACAACCGGGAGGTCGTTGGTTCGAACCCCGGCCGCGTCATACCAAAAGACGTTAAAAGATGGGAGTTGTTGCTACCTTGTTTTGACGTTCAACAATAAGGGATAGAGCAACGTCGATCTGGCGCTGCTCAGTGGCTGCCGGGCTCACGATCAATTGGGCAAAAAGAATTTCCGTTTCGGTTTAATAAAATTTGGAGTGGACTATTAGGCTATTATTATTATTATTATTATAAAACCAAAGAAAAAGACGGGAATATATACCTTTGTTCTCAAAGCCCGATTTCTCCTTGTAAGTCTCAGTGACATCGGATACCTCGGACATATCGTCTTCATCGCCGTTGAAGAAGGCCATCATCTTGGGTACGATGTTGCAGAGGAAGATGGAGGTAGCATCCACAGTGATCCCGATGAGGATGGCTGGTGTCTGGTAGTTCTTCTGAGGGAGGAGCGTGTAGCAACAGGCCCAGGACACAAGGAAACAGATGCTCAGGAGACTGGTCAGGAGATGGAACTTATTCTCTTTCTTAGCCGTTCCTTGGAGACGGTGGGACGAGAAGAACGACATGACCAAGGTCGTCAGGACGAGGATGTAGACATAGATCATGGAGACGATGATGCTGACGTTGTCATGGTTACAAGCCTGGCCGATGAACGCCATGCATCCGGCTTGGGTAACTTCATAGGCCGCATCAACACTCGGTGCGTCAAGGATCAGCCACTCAGTCACCAGGATGACCTCAGCGCCAAGCAGGACGCAGAACAGCACGATGTGCATCGGGAAACTGTTGAGGATGGACTTGGTGGCAACGTCGCTTCGAGCCATGAAACTGGCGCAGAGAGTCTTGGTTACCAGGACAGCGTAGACAACCGAGTAGGAGAAGCTAGTCATCCAGCGTTGGACGCCACACGCTGACTCAACAGGGGACACCATGTACCAGATGTTGTTGAGGTACATCAGGATGATTCCGACGGCCAGCATGGTCATCAGGAACGGGTTGGAACTCTTGAGGATGGCGGAGTCGCGTCGTCCGATGATGACAAAGATGGTAGCCACGCAGAGGAATCCGACGATAGCAGTTACGATCAACACAATGATGCTCCAGGACTCCATGTTGGTACTCCATGTCCAGCCAGAAGCCTGGGTTTCCGGTCCGGCTGTTGGGCATTCGGAGAGGGCAGAAGGGCATTCAGACGGAGCATCGATGGGCTGATTAGCAGCTTCATTGTAGAGGTAGGTCATACTGTCTTCCATGGTCAGTTCTCCACTTATCCACTCACCAATCTGTGGAGATGAATAAATCAGACCTTATTGTATTATTCACTACATATTCACGGCTACAAATCGCATAGTACTTTGAAAATTATATTTGAAATCGGCTACTAAAAATCCAATTAATCAACCTTGCACGACGACACTTCCCATCGCTTCGAACAGTTGTAATAATAATAATATACCGTACTTGTAAAGCACATATCACAATATGTCTCCATGCGCTGTAATTGTAGTGTTGGGATGTCCAAATTGAATTGGTACATTCTCAGCTAGAATATTTGTTAAAACAGGTCAAAAGGCCAGGAGGTAATCACAAAAAAAGGATGATGATTTGTTTTCTTCTTTCTTTTGTGTTTTGTTATAATTTCTGTTTAAAGTTGTTATTCATTATTTTGTGGTGGTGGTTATTTTTTTCTCTCGTTATTTTAGGACATTTTTTGCAATTTCTTTTAGCATATTTGGAAATCCGAACACCAACTTTCATTCCGTCAATCAATCTTATAAACCGAGGACCTCTTGATGGTGAAAAGCTTTGGGGTACATTGTTTGCTTTGTCGACAAACTTCGTCTGACAACCACATTCAAAATGGTCTGACGACATACCTGAAGATAAAGAGAATGTAATCTTAGTCAAATACAAGGGTTTTGAAGACTTCTATTCTTACCGGCACGAAGCTTCCAGTCGAACCCTCGCCCTGGAAGTTGATGATGGAATACTCGGCTGGTCCTTGACGGTTCTCGAACCAGAATGGACGTCGACCGGCCCCTTCGAAGACGTACACGTCCTTGACGGCGTACAGGAGATCATGCCATGATGCTTCGAAGAACTCCGGACATAGAGGAACAGAAACGTTGGGTCGCTGGTGATAGTTGGACCTTTTATAGACGTGACCCACAAATTCACCTGGAAAGGGTGAAAACAAGATATAAGATAAGTTGGAGGACAGTCATGTATCGAAAACTTTTTGTGGCAATGAGCCTGAGCAGCCATTGGTTTCGCTGATGAATTACAGAATAAATTTGGAGGAGATGAGAAGGTTAACAAAGTACAATCCTCATCTTTGAATGCATATTCGGCAGCAATAATATTTTTTTTAAAGAATTGTTATCATAAATTTCTTACTTAATTACTAACGAATTATTATTATTGCAACGGGAAGAAAGATAACTAATTAAAGTACTAACAAATATTCCGATCAACTTCATCAAACAAAATTAAATTTAAACATGTTGAAATTACTTAATTATTTAAAGAATTGTTCTTGCACGGTGGCCTGGCAAATACGTATCTATTCTTAGGACTATATACCAAATATCTCAAAATATTTGTTAAATCTTAATCTTTCTGTTATAATCTTCATCTAAGAGGATAAAAGGAGCTATTTTGTGTCGAATGACAACAGATTGTTACTCAAAGAATCACAAGCATAATTTTTGCCCGCTCAATGTACTATGCCTACCGTTTCCGCAGAGGAGCTGGATCTTGTTATGAGCAGCCTGAGCGATTGCATGGACGGCGTTGATGAGTGTCGCGGCATAGGGAGGGATGACGCCCTGCTTCCCCAGATCGACGGCCTGGATGCATTCGGAAGACGTGCATCCATTGGTGAATTCATCGGTGACGTAATTGCGAAGCCAGTGGTTCTCATTTGTCTCCTTGACCAAGTCTAAAATGGGGTTTATTGATAGTGAAAAGAAAATGGGTTCCATAAAATATGTGGCAATTGGAAAGAGATGAATCAATAAAGAAAGAATGAAGAGGTGGTAAAAAAAGATGAAGTAAATGGTTTTTCATGTGTAATGTAATATCAGAAATTTTGCGCAATATTAACATTATTTTGAGGCCCAATACCACACGCGAGCGAGTGAACACACACACACATACGCACACCCATATCTTCTCTCCCGTCCAGACCATTTTGGTAAAGCATCGGCCCTAAATATAAAGCTTTACCTGAGTACTAAAGCTATACTCTACATAACCTCCGTATATCGCACTTATACCTGAAGAGATTTATGAATTTTGGATTTAATGAAGTTCCCCACTTGTGATACCCCACTTGTGATAATTATCTATTCTGTGGGTGAATTATAATGTAGATTGATCAGTTCAGTTCAGTTCAGTTTATTTTATTTTTGCACGGCACCAACTTCAGCCAAATGCTGTTCTTCTGTTGGTCCGTGCGCAATATAAAAATTACATTTACAGTTATAAGATAACACATAATTATTATCATAACATATGATACCCCACTTGTGGTAATTATCTATTCTGTGGGTGAATTATAATGTAGATTGATCAGTTCAGTTCAGTTCAGTTCAGTTTATTTTATTTTTGCACGGCACCAACTTCAGCCAAAGGCTGTTCTTCTGTTGGTCCGTGCGCAATATAGAAATTACATGTACGATTATAAGATAACACATATTATCATAACATATGAAATATTTAAAAAAAAAAGAAAAAAAAAAAGAACATAAGTATACAAAGAAAAATGAAAATTGACAAACCAAGATACTACTACCCAGCCCCCCCCCCCCCCCTGTCGGCAGTCATTCTTTTCAAACAGCGTTCATTTTAGATTTTATAGTTATATAAATAGATATTTAAGTGAACAAAATATAAAATTAATATTTATATTACCTTGATTTAAATACAGAGAAAGACATATTTTTTACGTTCATAGGTAGCTGATTCCAAGATTTAATGCCTCTATAACATAAGCTCCTTTTCTTAAAATTCGTTTGTGGTTTTGGCAGTTATAAGGTTTTATGAGCATTTCTCAAGCTATAATGATATTCTTTAATAACAAAGTACTTTCTAAACCCACCATATATCATTCCATGCACTATTTTATACAAAATACATAGAACATGTTCATCTCTCCGTTTTGATAGATTTTCTATTTTCAGACAAAGAAATAAATCTCGGCTTGGGAACCTCCATTCAACTTGAAGTACCACCCGGAGTGTCCTATTCTGTAGCTTTTGCAAACTGTCTAAATTTCCTTTTCCGGTATTCCCCCAAATTGCACTAGAGTAATCAAACTTACATTGTATTACTGATTTATAAAATATTAGTGCAGTTTGCTGTGTAACATATGGTCTAATTCTTTAAAAAAAATATATATCTTTTAATACCTTCTTACTTAAATATTCAATATGTTTACCCCAATCCCAATGTTCATCAATAACTATTCCAAGATACTTACAGTGGGTTACACGTTTGAGAGGAACATTTTGTATGTAAACATCTGGTACTATAATGTTTTTTAGCCGTTTCTTCGTTCCGATAAAAAGTAATTTACATTTTGGCACATTTAAAGCAAGTCTGTTCCTTTTTAACCAAATATCAATAAGTAATACGTCTGCATTTAATGATTCGGTAAGAATTTGTTGATTTGCACTAGCGTAATATAGACACGTATCATCAGCATATAAAGATATTTTACATGTTTTCAGACATAAAGGCATATCATTAATAAATAGGTTAAATAACAATGGGCCAATATTTGACCCCTGTGGTATTCCACATTGCATCTTTTGTGAATTGGAATGAACCCCATTTACACAAGTGTATTGCATGCGATTGGCTAAGTAGCTACTAAACCACTGTAATGACATTACATTCAAGCCAATAAGCCGTAGCTTATTTAAAAGAATTGAGTGTTCTACTGTATCAAACGCTTTTTTTAAGTCAAAGGTCACCACGCCTACAAGATTATTGATAGCTTTAATACTCAAAGCTAGGGGCGTTAAAGCCAGGTGACAATAACTACTGTCCATCCACCAACTCATGAGGGTTGAAATTGGGGCAAAGCTGTGTTAGGCATAGAGGGCATAATGTATTTGTCCCTATAAAGAAAACACACATTGACACTCACCGAGATTAGAAAGATGCTCCTTGAGCGGGTTGTAATCGACCATGTAGTTGGTGACGACAATGGCGCCTCGGGCAACGCTTTCGAGTCCGGCCGTGACGTCAACATCAGGATCAGTGAACCATTTATCGGAGCCGATCCACGTGATCTTATCACCAGGTCCCTGGGAAGATTCCATCTCAGCTGTCAGGAGGTTGCGGGCATCAGTACCTGAGAGAAGGTGTCGAGATGCGAGATGAAATAAATGACGTAGAAGACAGAGGCAGATTGTTAGAAGGCACTATTTCCATCAAGCCTGATGCCTCAAAGTCTTCAAAATGAGAAAACAATCTCAAAGACTTTCGAGAGAAAATATCCACCTAGACCAATTTTGATAGACTTGTACAGACCATTTCGAAATAAGTGAACATTACAATGACCGATTACGTACATGTAATGCGAATACGATTCTATAGTGATACATTAAGGTATTGATTTTGCTTTGAGTTCATTTCTAAAAACTCTTTGCGCTATCTTGAATGAGGTAAATGTCAAATACATTAACAGTGTAACAACTAAACAGATTTAGTTTATTTTTACAAACAAATACATTTGTTATCCATCGTGCCTAGCTTTTAGATTTACATTAATCTGTCTTCTTTGAAAATGACAACTTGAGAGTTTTTCTGACAAAAATAAAATCTTACTTTCGACGAAAGCGACGACGACGGTGATTCCGTAATCCCTGATCATCTGGACGATGTCGTCATGGGTACTCTGTGGGGATTCCAGGTCGATACCGATGCTATCACGGACGCAGATTCCACCAGCCCTGGCCGCATTGTTGAAAGACTCGTTACCTGTGAGCGAAAGTAGTGAAATATGGTGTACATGAAATCAAGTTGACAATCTAAAAAGGTCGAATAGGTTTTGATGTGTTATATAAATATCTAATTCTCTCTTACAATTTTCGTAATCGAACCTTCTTGCGGTGAATGAATGTGCCCATCCCATGCCCAGCGTAAAAGTTCAATGCTTTATCTCAATTGATGTTAATAGAGTATTATTTTTAATTTAAATTGATATTTGATTTATATATTTTCATTCACGTTTAATATAAACATTTTTAACAATAGAGTGTTCACTTTATTCTGTTGCTGAATGTTTATTGGTACTTTACTATAAATGAATCTAACCTGCATGGCCATAGTAGGAATGTGAGTAGACAAAGATCACGTGATGCCATCCTTTGTACTTCAGGATATCGACAGCGGCTACGGCTTCATTGTCGTATGCTGGTGCAGTGCTGAGCAGAGACGATGCCGGGTATGGACCCTCATCACTGAACACGGAGGGACTTGCGGGGGTGAAACCGATCTAAGAAACGGTAGTCATGAGCAATTAAGAAATTAAGTATAGCTTGAGACTAAATATTTCCCTCTCCCTTTTTTTCCTCACCCTCATCTGTCTCTTTCTTCATCTTTTTCTTTCTTTCTTTCTATCTCTCTCTCTCCTTTTCTCCATGTTCCCTCCTCTTAAGTTGTTGCTGGTGTATATATGGACTTAAAAGGAAACAACAGTACAAAGCAAACGGATTTATGATTATGAAACGTCTTAGACGAATCAAATATTTTAAGGACCAATCTTTACTGGATCAACCTTATACTGGATCGTCGACATAAGATTATATATGGTTTAATAAGCTGGTGGATCCATGGAGAAGACAGTGTGATAAAATGATTATATTACTGATTTTGGGGCCACTTACAATTCAATCAAAATATACCAAGACAGATAACAATTAGCCCTGCTTTTTCTTTACCCCTGACACAATGGAGTGACTTTTACAGTCAACATAACCAACAGAAACACTTACCGTTGGGATATAGAAAGGGGATGTGACGTCACTGGCTACGTGACCTTGCAGATACTCTCTCACTGGACCGAGAACGCCCAGCATTGGTCCAGTCGGGGGCAGGTTGGACGCTGTTCGGCCGATCAAGGAGGTCAGCTGGCGAGCGGTCACCAGGAACTGACCACACGAGTCGACGATGGTCAAACCAAGCTTGAGATCCGGAAGGATGAGGCTGCTGTTGTTGATTTCTTCCAAAGCATGTTTTATGATCTACGATTCAAAAGTCATTGGTTATAGAATCCCCACGTTATTATGAAGCTGAATCGTCAATCAATGATACAGTTTTCAACCGACAGTTATATGAAATAGAAATAATGGTACTAACGGCTTCCAACCGTTGAAATAGTACAGAAAATGATATGTATTTTGGTGGAACGACACATGAGACCATTACAGAAAAGAAAAAATTCGATAATATTACAATGATTACAATGATATGCTTTCTAAAGAAAATTACCAAACTGTCAATCTGAACTGAACGTTGTTATTCAGTGTTTCATGAAAGGGGACAGTAGCCATAGTTCAACAAAATAAAAAATATATATATTGAGTAACAAAGACATGCTCAGAAATACGTACAGCAGAATGCTAATCACCAAACTGAATCTAGCATCATCAGTCATCATTTCCTGAACGTTGAAACATAATTCGAGATTTAGTAGGATCTTTACCTCAATGGCCATGGTCTCTTGATGACGGGTTGCTCCGCATGTCAGGTTAGCGCCCTCACCCTCCTCGCTCAACCAAAGGACAGCCGTAACGTCAAAGTCTCCTGGGATGCGAAGATAGGTTCCACCAAGTTCCGTAGAATCGGAACATTCGTAACAGGCTCCTCTGCATGACGATTCTTTGCCGCTGCCGACAGCAAATCGGTCGTCGACTGTAACAAGTCCAGTGTCATCTTCGTAAGTAGCAAGCTGGATAATATATGTAAGAAGATCGGATGGTGCTAATAATCCTCTTCGTTATATGTCAAGATTCATCGTCAATTATAAAAGCACATCATATGAACATTAGTTGTAAGATGTTTTAGTATAGTTCATTAAGCTTGCTGTGTACTATCTTAGCACTTTGTATATTTCTTGTCTCATATTTCTTTAGGAACTCCTAATCAATGAAGTGATGAAAGGTACTTGACGCTAACGGTGGAAATCACTTTAATCTGAACTTGACGAAAAAGACAATATTCAAAAAGTGAATAAAGACTTTACCAATGAATTAAAACTGACTAGACTAAGACAGAAATCTCTTTAAAACATTGAAGTTTGCTTTGGCTGCAACCAACCCTTACCACTTTATTGACCAAGTAATGGTCCAGAGCCAGGATGTTGAAGGCACTAGGTGCATCGCCATTCTCATCAAAGGACACTTCAGCCATACTGCCAGATCGGCTCAAGAAGCGGACTTCATGGAGATATCTGGCCCATTCCAGGGGCGATGTGGCGAGCATGGCATCACACAGCCCGTCTGAGCGTGGTCCGGGGCACTTGTTGCGGTGGAGGTTAGTGAGAGCGTGAGCGAAGACGTACACCGCGTTGATGACGCCTTCTGCAGTGTAGACGTCCCTACGTGTTAGAGATTCTCTCCCTGGAGAGAAAACATGATGTCGGAAATTGTTTCGTTTAAAACGCGACAATCTAAACGCTATGGAAACTTTTCTCAGTGTTACCACCGCCATTAGGTTATCAACAACTAAACTGGGACTTCCTAAACAGATTTGACAACAATATGGTGTAATCTACCTCAATTAGGGGAAGCAAGATTCCTGCGGTAAAAAGAACTTCATTTAGAGTTTACTAGACCGACAGCCTACGAGATCGGCATTTTTCTATAGTTCCTTATATCTATATATTTTTTTTTTTGTGCTCTAATGGCTGTTGGTTTCCTGGTTAGACCATTGATGCCTTGAAACTTTTGTAATGTTTTACCTTGCTATATTTGTTAAACCTTGTCTTTGTCAGTCGTGTACACATTATATAACTTTCGATCTCGTGGGCTGTCCGTCTACTGGGACTTTCCCCTCGATCATATAATTGTTTTCTTTAATTTTCTTATTTTGATCTCGCGATTAACCTAGGTGGATTACAAGATCATGCAGAGTGACATGAATCAAATGACGCTATCACGATAGCCTTGATAGAGGTAAGTTGATATTTCAAAGAAAAATAAATCACTTGAACACACCTGAGCATGGGGTGGTGAAAAGCTGCGGCATACTCGCGCCTCCGATCTGACACTGGAACTTGTTCATCCAGTATTCAGCGAACCAAGTGTTATGGACCGTATCAGCAAAGAACCCCTCCTCCATCGTTGATTGGGGTGTCAGGGAGATGAAGTGATCAACAAAGTCGTCGACTGGGGTCGACTTACGCCTCAGAGTGATGGAATCTTCGCCAAAGACAAATTATTAACAAAGAGTTGTGAACTCTCATTAGTCACTATGTATAGTCACTTGTATATAGACAATCGGCAAATCATTCCTTGGCAGACATAAAGAACTTAAAAATAAATATAATTTAATTAAAGTTATGTAATTTCTCATTCAGAATCAACGACTAAAATTTGAGTGATTCGTCAATCTCTATTTGCTTTGATCTTTTATTTTAATTTCCGAAAACTAATATCAGGCCAATCACTTGAAATCAAGACTCAACATCTTTCATTCCACTTCCAAAATAAAATGCATCATACCAGTATGAACTTCTCTGTTCCAACTCTCTAAGTAGTTTGTGTCCGCAGTGAAAGCATAGATCATCTGCAAGAACTCTCCAGGTAGAGAACGTCGCTCCAGGGCGCTGAAAAGTAACTGGGTGTCGTCGTTGCTGGCGAAGGTGACGACGATGTCGGCAGAGGGCTTGGCGAGAAGGCGATCGACTGCCCCGTTGAAGTCGGTGATGGGCTCGAATGTGATAGTTTGAGCAACGCAGATGCCATTCTAGAAGGGACAAAGTCAAGCATTTCAAATGATTTGATTAATCTGTCAGCATGGCATACTATAATGAAACCTAATTAGCATGAGCATGGAAAAGAAAAGTGGAACAAGGTACTTTTAGAGAGTTTCTGAGTAATTTTTTTTCTGGGTTTTTGTCTCGACTTTTTTGTTTAACGTAATAAATCACACATAGAAATTGTTTGATTTCGCAATTTTGTTTGTTAAGGATTTTAGGCAACGTACTACATAATAATCAAATGTACTGCAGTTGGTATGCAATGAAAATAAATTGATGACACCTGAAGAGGTTCATTAAAAACTCAATAGGTCCACGCCTTTTGGTTACATTGTCATGAGCAGTTTCAGACAGGGATTTTAAAACAATGTAGACCTAAATAGATCATACTGATTATAAAAGGCAGGAAAAAGAGGCTTCAGATTTTCAAGTGTTTCAAGATTTTCCCCGTATCTAAAGAAAAGAAAAGTGTCATTGACCTCTCGGTTTAGATTGCTTCTCTTCTTCCAGATGGTCTCTCAAGGTCCATGCAACCCGTTAACGAGAAAGACAAAGAAAACAGTCCTGCATGAACCTTTCACTTACCTTTCTAGCTTCTTCAACAAATTTCGCTGCGGTGGTGTTGTAGATTCCATCACGTGACTGTGTTACTTGTACATAGGTGACATCGTGTTCCTTGAGGAACGCCACGATAGCAGATACCATAGCACAGCTTGGTGCCACGAGGCGGGAGAAATAGGGGTACTTGGCCTTGTTGCTAAGGGCTGGTAGTCTGGCAGAGTCGCTCACCTGAGGAACTCCAAGGGGCTGTAAACATAGTTGAAATACGATGACGCCTTTGTCATTTTCAGCATTTCTGACATTTTCGTATAGATAAACCATTATCGCACTGTTGGCAATTGGTCTCTGCTGTTGATTAGTATGAATGTATTTGAACACCAAAGCAGGATGAAATGGTAACATGTTTTTCTACTGTTAAACTTTTTTCGATACTCGAAAAGTTGAATGCATCTGGTGTCATTCTTATTTCGAAAGTTCTAATGAATAAGCAAGCTTCCTCTAGTTATCTCTTGGATTATGCACTATAGGTGTTTTTATCCAGCGATTTTAGGTAAAGTTGCCCTATTATTAATATCAAGTTCGTTGTAAGAATTTTAGTATGCAACAATTATTCCGCTCGAATGTTTTATTCGTTTGTCTGTTAAATCAAGGTAATCAAAATGTCCTACTCTGTCTCAACCAATTCAAATATAGCAATATTGATATCGATACCTGCAGGACTTGATCAATCTCGACCGTCTCCTCATCATCGACACGGCTGATGACACCAGCCATGTATTCATATTCCATGTTATCCTGGTTGTGATAACGCCCGAAGGCCTGGTTGGGTTGCCGAGTGAAATGTCGCACGAAGTCATACGTGACCGAGGCGGCTTGGTCGGGTGAGCTGCAAGACTCTCCAAGCATTGGTCGTAGCTGAAAGCAAGAAGCGTTAATAGACCAGTTGCGATTAGAATGGCCTTCTTTTATTAAATTAGGATTGATCAAAAGAATCATATATATAATATACTCTCAAAGGCACACATTTTCTATATCCATATTGTCAAATGTTAAATAAGAGGGGATAAAGACAAAAACATAAACACGGAGAATTAGTTAATGAGGAGAAAGGTAATATAAATTAAACGATAAAGCTATAGGCTAATGATAATTTTTTTGAATAAATGAAATATAATTTAAACATTAGGAAATACAATATTAGACAAATTTAACTTCAGGAATTATCTGCTTTGAATCCTGACTGTTTTGACTCCCCCCCCCCCCCCCCCTCCAAAAAAAAAAAAAAAATTGTCTAGGATAGCGATAGTGTGACCGTGAATGCAGTGTGCAAGGGGAAGGCACTAAAACAAAATCAAGATTCAATCAATAATGAATTCACATCTATCAATACACAGCCTAAAATGGATACAACCATTTTCAGAAGGTCATAAGGGCAATTCTTGTCGGAACAATCAGAATTTACTTTAAACTATCATAACGTCCAGGGGGTGTTTCACAAAGATTCTAAGTTAAAATTATCTCTAAGTTGGACTTAACAGTTATGGTAAGCCGTTAGCATTTTTGAAAATATTTTGTAAAAGTTATTTTAAAAGGCATAACATGTTGATTCAAACATTCATATTTTCTTTTATCATGGGAGATTTCATGTTCTTGATGTGAAATTCATGAAAAGTTTAAAATACTTGAATTTTTGCTTTTGAATATATTTCATTATAAGGCTACAGATGGCTCTACATAATTTTTAAGTCCAACTCATAGTTAAGTTCGACTTAGAATCTTTGTGAAACACCCCCCAGAGGAAATTCAGAAGATGGGGGGTAATCATATCATATAGCATATCATAATATTTTGTCAGTACTCCATAGAGAAGACCTTGAGTCAAACTGCGAAATTATTTGGTGCGAATTATTTTTTAAAGAAACAAAATCTATTTTTCTTGGAGTTTTTTATAGACCTCCAAACAGTAAAATAGAAAGTATTTATGAATTTGAAAAATCTATGTCATTAATAACTCATAATGGTAAAAAAATATGCAATGTTATTCTCACAGGAGATTTTAATTTACCAAGTTTGAAATGGGTAAACGGATATAATGTCACATCCGAAAACTCTGAGTTAACAAAATATTTTATGTCGGTTATTGACAACAATTTTCTATATCAACCAACAAGAATTACTGATAAGACTTGTAACATACTAGATTTATTATTTACGTCTCATCCATCAGATGTGTCTAAAGTTAATATAATTCCTGGTATAAGTGACCATGAGGCTATAAGTTTCATTATTTGTTGTATGAATAACAGTGAATTAAAAAAGAAACATATATATTTTTATTCTAAAGCTAACTTTGAACAATTCCGAAAAGATTTGAAAGAAGCACCTTTATCTGAAGAAAACAGAGATGTTAATGTGAAAGAATATTGGCAGTTGATTAAATCTACAATAATAAAGATTTGTGATGCAAATGTTCCGCATGGTAATTTAAGAAAAGGATCAAATGTTCCGTGGGTAGATAAGGATTTAAGGAAATTGATGAGAAAAAGAAATAGAGCGTTTAAGAAAGCTAAAAGAACAACTAAGAGAACCCATTGGGAAAATACAGACAGTTGAGAAAAGAAGTAAAAAAGAAAGTTAAATTGAATTATGTGAATTATTTACGCAATGATATATGCAATAGTCTTAAACGTAATCCTAAACTTTTTTGGAATTTTATTAAGTCCAGAAAGTGTGACCGTGGTATGATAGATTGCTTAAATGTCAGTGGTAGAATTATTACTGAAGATCAACAAAAAGCTGATGTTTTTAATGAACAATTTAATCAAATTTTTAGTAATTGTGAAACCCTTTCCCAGCCCGAATTAAATATTAATGCTCCTATTATGGAGGATATTCAATGTACCGAAGCTGAAGTCTTAAAGTTGTTAAAGAATGTAGACATTTCAAAAGCGCAAGGCCCCGATGAATTAGCTCCATGTTTGTTGAAAGAAGGTGCAGAACAATTGGCACCTGCTCTTTGTAAACTTTATAAGCCCGAATCAAATAGTAATGCTCCTATTATGGAGGATATTCAATGTACCGAAGCTGAAGTCTTAAAGTTGTTAAAGAATGTAGACATTTCAAAAGCGCAAGGCCCCGATGAATTAGCCCCATGTTTGTTGAAAGAAGGTGCAGAACAATTGGCACCTGCTCTTTGTAAACTTTTTAATCTGTCTTTGTCATCAGGTGTATTGCCAGCCGATTGGCAAAAAGCTAATATATGTCCATTGTATAAAAAGGGTAACAAACAGGATCCGGGTAATTATCGCCCTATATCTCTTACGTCCATTACATGCAAGATCTTAGAACGCATAATTTGTAAACGTCTTATTGAACATTTTAATGAAAATAATATACTATGTGACAATCAACATGGTTTTCGGGAAAAAAGAAGTTGTGAAACACAACTTATAGAAGCAATTAATGATTGGAGTTATAATATGGAGTCTGGTTCAAGCGTCCACATTGCTTTCCTTGATTTTGCAAAGGCGTTTGATAGTGTACCTCACGACCTTTTAAGAACAAAACTTGAAATGTATGGTGTAAGATCTCAAAATTTAGAATGGATAATGAATTTTTTACAGAATAGATATCAAAGGGTGGTTATAAATGGCGAATGTTCTTCATGGATCAAAGTTAAATCAGGCGTTCCGCAAGGAACAATTTTAGGCCCGATATTGTTTTTATGTTTCATTAATGATATGCCTAATAATATTTCATCAACTATTCGATTATATGCGGACGATTGTATATTGTACCGTCCAATTTTCAATGTAGATGATTGCAAGATATTACAAAATGATTTAGAAGTTTTAAGTAAATGGTCTGAAACATGGATGCTCGACTTTAATGTATCAAAGTGTAAAACTATGAAAATGTCTCGAAAGCTTCACGATATAACATATAATTATTCTCTCAATGGACAGGAGTTAACAAATGTAAAGTCTGAAAAATACTTAGGTCTTGTAATAAATGATTCTTTAAACTGGAACGACCATTGCACTGACTTATATACAAAATGTAACAGGATCATGGGAATTATAAGACGGAATTTTGTTAATTGTCCAAAGTCTATTTTAAAAAGTCTTTTTGAATCACTAATTCGCTCACGTTTAGAATATTGTTGTACAGCATGGGATCCCTATAGAAACACACACAAAGAGAGGATTGAACGTATTCAAAAACGTTACGTAAGGATGATGTGTAAGGATTGGTCTACGAGTTATAACGTGTTATTACAAAATGTCAAAATGAATTTATTAGAAAATAGACGAAAGTACCATAGACTTGTTTTTTACTATAAGATTGTAAATAACTTGATTAATGTAGGAGAAGTAAATAGGTGCACACGAGCGAACAGAATAGGAAGAAATGATAATACTTTTAAGATGCACGTTCCATATGCCAGAACAGACTATTATATGAAATCCTTTTATCCCCAAACAATTAATGAATGGAATCAACTCCCACAAACATTAGTAAAAAGTCAATCGCTAAATACCTTTAAATCGGCTCTGGTAAAACATCTCAATCTAGATTTTTAAAATAGAAGTGTCTTGCAATTTCTAACTTGTATTTCTGTTGTTGTATTTATATTGAACTATAATCTATGTCATACTTCGATATTTTATGTATTAGTATTTACTGTGTAATTATGTATGCCATTTTACTGTCCATATCTGGGATGCAAACTTGTATGGGTTTTTCTAAACCTTGTTTTGTAACCCAAGACATGTATATATTTTTATATTGTCTGAATAAAATCAAATCAAATCAAAATCACCTGCATGCCTGGCAGAAGGGATGAATCTTTGTTCACTTGATCCATGGCCCACAGCATAGCTTCAGCTTGATCAATACCCGGATGATGGCTCAAAGTTGCACAATCTGTTACCAGGACAACAGAAGATATGAAAGAATCATGAGAGAGAGAGATTACTGGTCAATCTAAAATCTCGTATTCCACACTTTTAATAGTAATGATGTTATATTAGTTCATGAATTTTTTTTAAAACGTGATCTGTGGCCCATAGCAGAACTTCAGCTTGATCTTTGCCAGAATGACGGCTCAAAGTTACACAATATGTTACCATGACAACATAAAATGTTACAGAATCAGTACTAAAAATAAAATAATGATCAATCTAAATTCACCTTGTATTTATTATAATGATCCTTTTCGGCTAAACAATGCCCTTCTGTATTTCATAACACAACCTAGTTTAATAATTGTCTCCTCTGAAATTGGCCGAAACATTTCAAAGAAGAATGTCATAGAAATTTGTCATCAATGATTTTGTCAATTATATTTTGCTAGGAACATAAATTAAAAAGTTAATGTATAATAACATTGCTCTGTAGTTGAAAATGTGTTCTCAAAAATAGGAAATCAATGGCCAGTTAGACAGATTGAATCATGATCGTGTGATTAAAAAAAAATACATAAGGAGGGAATTAAAAAAAACATGTTTGATTTTTTCAATTTCATCACAAAAAGACCTGAAGTATTAGCCAAATATACCTGACTCATGAACAGGGAAGATTCCAGCTAGGTTGAGAATGTCGTAGTGGTCATAGACCACGACGCATGACTCACTGCTACATGACGATGTCGGTGGCGTATTCGTAACACCACTCTGCAGATAGAACTCGATTTCGTTTTCATTCACCATTAATGTGCCTGGTCCCATCCACTGACCAACCTATCACAAAACAAAGATGAAACGAATATAATCTATCTAAAACTGGATGATGAATCAATGTCCAGACAATTTATTTTAATGATTTATACGAATTGCTCGGGATAAGATACGATACGATACGACTGCAACTATTAGTAAAAGAAAAAGTAGAGAACAACATTCTATAGCCGGTTCCTTATAACTATTCAAGAATACAATATTCAGGGGAAGATATAAAACCTGATATGAACGTGTGGGCAACATGATTGATTCGATTGATCAAAGATTTCGATTTTGAAAGAAAACGCCGGTTAATTGGATTATATTTGTCCCTTTTCAAGTCAATAATAATCCGGATAGATGCCTTATTTAAAGTATACTTCCTCCATTGAAGAGAAGATATCAAATTACAGATAAACCTTCACAAATTCTGTAGAACTTTGCAGGAATTATGAATATGTCACGTATGTCCTATCTGAGAAATTTAAACGTTAGCCGTGTCCTTTTATTCAAATTATGCAAGGAAACCCGTTTACTCTCTAGACTTCACTGTCAGTCACTACTGAGTGACTGACTGACTTCTTTATTTTCTTTGGTAATAACATACGTAAAATGAGCTGTAAAGGTACATAAGCATTAGTCTTCATCAATAACCCACTTCTTGTAATGGCAAACATTAAACTGATTGAACCTTTGCGTAGCACAAAACCTACGACCATCCGGTACAAGGGTCTGAAAATCACACTATTACTAAAATGATTGCAATCACTAAAGTCGATTCGACAACTAATGCTCGTTATTTTCCCACGAAAAGACATTTTCAAGCCCTTTCGTTTTGAGGGAAGTTCTTAATTAGTATTCTCTTTAAAATGCCGTTGAAATTTAACCTTTTCTTTTGGTTTGGCCTGCAAATGAGACATAGTGCCTTTAATAGGCCCTTCTTTGTTCAAACTAGATGCCATAACTTTCGAAAATGAAAAATACAACATATATCTTACTCTTAGTGTAAAAGAATGAAAACTGTTTCTAGTATACCTTCCTGACTGCCAAGGTGGCGCCCTCAGTCTGCAGCTGTCTGATCTCGAAAGCGGGAACGACAGGATCACCATTACCATCGAACGCAATCCTCCTTCCGGACACACCGGTAAAATCTGCTGTCTTAACGTACATCTCCACGAATTCAGCAGAGCCCATCGCCTTCATGGCGTCACAAATACCAGGACCGGAGGAGCCGCACTTGTCCGAGTGCGCTCGTCGCAGGGCATCCACGTAGACATGGGTGGCATCAATGGCGGATGGTACGTAGGTCATGGGTTTGTCGGTAGTGGTGGTTATGTTGTTCTTCATCAGGTAGTTCTGTTCAGACATGAATCGAAAATAATATATCATCAGAGTTTTTAAAAAAAAGAAACATTCCGTTCTTAACATCTTTAGAAAAAGGTATTTCTAAATCTTCACTAAAGGTATAATTTAAGCTTATTAGTATTCTGAGTCCTTCAGAAATTTAAAATGAAAGATGGCTTAAATGAAGATCCCAGGTAATTGTTATCATGGTGCATATTTATCCCAGTTCAAAATGTTGTCATAAGGACTTTGATAATCGTAAGGGGCAATTGCTTTAATGCATATTCATATTCTTTCTGTACGTACTCTTTATTCATTAATGTTGCATCCTCATCTGATAATATCTCCGCTCTGCTAGTAATTGCCCACCCAAAATATATACCGTATGCTTTTTTTATGGAAACACTTATTGCAGAAGGTCCTGTTATATCAAAACAACAAAATGAAAAGTTGTAAATATTCCGCCTTTCAATTTAACAAACCACAAAGATCCTGACCACCCTCACACACATATATAAAAGGTTGGTTGAGTCAAACAGGAATAGATTAAATGCATCGTGGATATTCACCTGTACGTCAGCATTGTAGAATTCTCCCGCTGCGATGCTGAAGAAGCCTTTAGCTAACATCATATCAGCGGGGATGTCATAGTCGCATCCGACGATCTGTAGATCCAAAGCAGGGCCTCCTCGAGACTGGATGGCCAAGAGTAGGTTGACCAAATCAGAGGAAGACCCCCAGAATGCAACCACTGAAGTGAAACGAAGAGATATATAAATTAGACGATTATGGTTTGATTTTTATATGATTTTGATTAAATTAAATTTCGTTTGATTTGAACTGATTTAATTTGATTTGTTTTGATTTCAATTCATTTTGTTCAGCATGGTGTCCTCGTCGAAAACACTGCTCGTCCTAAGAACCGGTTCTTGTCATTACATGTAAGTGCAATTCAGGATGAATATAAAGAACAACACATGGAGCCACCACAAGAACATTATTACTTTAACACACAGAGTGTTAATGCCCATATTCCTAAACATACGAAAATTACTCTGCCTCAGAGAAAAAATTAAGAAATACCATTTTCCTAGGGTGAATAATATGTTTTCAGAATTATGTTACAAACCATGATATATTCATTTAATACACTGAATAATGTACAGATGATTTATTTTACAATGCAAGTTATCTGCTCATTCTGCTGCACCAGTCAACGTCTAACTATTTATAAAGTGAACAACAATGACCACCCAAATGGGATCATACCATCTGGTAAAAAAAACAAAATCTTTATAGCAAACTCCAAATCAAAATTAAATGAGGTAAGATTGTTTTAATATGTTTGGCAGGAATATGATGTCATGAATCCCGTCTGCCCTACCATGGCCCTACTTTAGCCACAACAGCTTTAAATAAAGGCCGCGATCGCCCCTCCCCAAAATCGTCTGTGACTCTGTGTATTTAGATGACAAACCTGTTGCATCTTGGTTAGCGATGAGCTGTGAGACGACGAGATCATAATCAGCACCAGCCGATGGAATATTTATTGCTGAAGCCAGAGCAACACGACCTTTCGCTGCTTCCTTGAAGGCTTTAGCGCCAGTCATTCCGTATGACCCTTCACTGGAGACCAGATGAACGTAGGACCAGCTAAAACTATCGAAAAATTCCACCATCGCCTGTGAGATAACAAAGAGATATGTCAAGTTGATGGCTGTCCGAATATCGATCTCAATTGCAAAGGACAGGGGCCTCTTTAATGAGATAATGATGGCAACTATGTATTAGCCTGTTGGGATTTTTCCATCTAAGCACTAGCATGAATATCAATGGGTTCTGAACTCAAGGAACAAGCTAATTTCCATGAGGACCTTCATATTCTTCTAAGCTTATTAAATCATCATGTGTAAACACCTCTGATTATCTTCAGTGCCATTGCTCTGGAGAGTTTGGCCGGTTCGGGTTGGGCACAGTATGCCAAATACTGGTTTGTTGAGCAAGTACAACACAAAATAATACACGATATGTTGTGACCAACTGAAGCCAAACTGGCCAAGTCTGTGAATAGATTATATTCAGATGATGACGCCACCTACCTGTGCTTGGACACTGTCAGATGCCACAGTACGGAAGAACAACCCATGTTCGGTCTTATCACTGAGCGACGGGGAGGTTGCAGAATGGCTGATCGTAGGGCCCTCAGCACTGGACAGTATCGGGGACACTGCTGCAGCCTCGCCGCTGGTGTACGGTCCAATCAAACCTGGTGAAATGTAATAGGGTTATTGTGCGACATTTGTAAATAAATAAGGCAATGTTTAGGAAATGGTTCGGGTAATGATTTGCAGTATCGTAGTCTATAATAGATATCAAGATACACCAAATGTATTGATTATTACCCAGATAGATCCTTCTGAAAAAAGAATTAAAGAATAAATAGTGAGCAAATTGCATTTGGAAAACATAAACAAGATTAAACGCAGTAAAAATTATTTGTAATGAAAACAAAATGAATTCAATTTTAGAAGAGAGGGTGTAACGAGTGATTTCCAAGTTGTGACGAAGTATTGACGAAGGTCATCGGGTCACTGGATGACGAGTGAACAGTTCATGTATTTTTACAATAACAAACAGTACTTTTGAGGTAGACAGCTTTAGAGAGACACCCGTTATTAGAGGACAATGCATGTCCTCTGATAACGAAACAAGTTACGCATGCATGAACACGCGTAACCTTTTGAAGTTTATGAAAGTGATTTACCAATTTGACTAATTACACCATCTCAAAGACTTTCGAAAAATCAACATAAGAACGATTGAGTATCCCGTCGTATATTAATTATGTACAGATTATGTAATAAGCCAGTGTGGCATTCTGCAGTAGATGGCGCACAAGGCCATTGAAGTGAGTTCTATTGTTGAGTTCTTGAAAGTCTTTGTGACCACCCTCAATATATATCTTTTAAAATCATATACAATTCTAACTGGGTATATAGTGGAAAACATTATCTCTCAATTCGTTATGTCTTATATAATATGGTACTGACCTGGCCTGTAAGGAGAGTCAAGGCAAGGATATACCCCTTGTGCTGTAGTGTTGACTTGGTTCACTATCTGAGCTGTATAGTATGTGACGTCAGCGACCGCCCGCTCAGGAATTTTGCATGATTCATAACGCTCCAAACCTGTTCATACAAAAAAAGTGTCCAATTATTTCTGTCTGTTTGTTTGTTTATGTTTAGATCACCAATACGAAGTTATTATTTGAATATGAATATGAATATATAAGTCCTCGAGTTATGTATTCTAATCATCATCATTTCGTTTTCATTCTTACCCTTTTCTTCTTCCTCCTCTTCTTTTTCTCCTTTCTTTGTCTTCTCTCCTCTTTTCTTCTCCTTCTTTTCCTCCTTCTTCTTCCTCCTTCTCCTCCTCCTCATTCTAATTCTTCTTCCACGTATCCCCTTGTTTTCCTCATTACTATACCTCTTATTTTTTAGCTATATATTAATATTTATACACTTATTGATTTGTTAATTATGTTTATTATGTTTATTGACCTGTCTATCTATTCTATCACCAAAAGATTTATAATTATTCTTTAAAAAAAAAAATCATAATTTGTTACCGATGTCGAAATCCGGCGCTTCCATCCCAGAGGGCAGGGCTACAAGAGCAGCCTTGATCGCTTCGTATGTCTCCTGATTCTTCATAGGGAGAGTGCAGGACATTCCGTCGGAAGAGCCGTAGAAACTCTGCATGACTCCGATAATGACGTCAGCATCTGATGTCTGGTACTCGTCGACAACCCGTCCGCGGCATTGCTCTGCATGCGTAGCAGACGCCACGGTCAGTACCGCGATGAGGATGAGGACAGCCCTGGCCGTCATGATCTAAGAATCTAGGCAATTAGCAAATGGAATAGATATCAAATCACTTGAATTACATTATTTAGTTTTTTTAATATATTTTTAAACTTATTTGATTGATTGATTGATTTATTTATCTAGGCCTATATATAATTTGTATCTACTTACTTTTGTGCACGCTTACTAATTATCTGACAAATAAATCATTACACAAGCTATACCTGACTAAAAGATGGGACAAATTTGGCCAAAAAATTATTGTTTGGAAGTCAAATGAACTTACTACATCAATAAGGTAGGTCAACAAAAAATACGAAGAGCTAAACACATCACGTCAGTCACATATTTATGCAGTATAATTAGGGAGTACATAAATACATAACATACAGAAAGTGTAAAAGGGGCTTGTACATTGCCATAAGGTAAGTATGGGGCTTGTTCCCCCCCCCCCTCCTTAAAGGTAATAAAAAGTTTTGGTATATTTTGAAAATTGAGTGGAAAGTGATTTTTTACAATTTTGATATATTTGGATGCCCCTGTGAATGTATCATAAGCTCTAGAAAAATTAGCCCCTAAAACACTTCTACTTTCGAGAAAAATTGAAAATAAAAATTTACCGGTGCTCCCGGTAAATTTTGATAAATTTCAAATAGCGCCTACGGCTGTTCAATGGTAGCTACGACCATGAAAATCTCAGAATATGTAGTTGTGATATATAATTTTCAAACGGGAATAGCTAATCGGTCGATTTTAGTCACATACATTGTTTTATAGCTTAATCAATATATTGACCTTGAGAGGGAGCTATTCAACATAAAGAGTTCTTTATTCACAATTTCATAACTTAAGACTCGATTCCAACCGCGACAATGATCACTAAATATTGTAGGATCGCATAGGATTCCAATATGTTAATTTGAACCAAATTCATGACCCCATACCAAAACATACCAATACCTTTAATAAAATTTGAATGGTGAACAAATTAGGTAAAACGAAAAGAGACAAAAAAGGGGGATCTAAGGGGACAGCAGGATGCACAGTGAAAAGAACATAACATTTATTTCGTATATTTATTCAGCCAATCATTAAAAACAATTTACAATGACACTGGTACTGGTATTGGAACAATAATTATAACATGATGACAGGCTATGGACCCCTAGATAAGCAGAGCTTGTAAACACGACCCCCTCCTACATCGTCCCCTCAGTTAGTGCCTTGTTCTCGGATATTTTAGGCACCTAGGACGGCCACTTCCCGGGGGGGGGGGTCACTCCTTACATGACTGGCTACGCACCTGCGTCCAGAAAAAGCGTCGAAAGGGTGTCTTTTAAAAGTTATATGCGGCGTCGTCGACGTTTTCTTTAAAAAGGGGTGTTTTTCAAGCACTGATCGCACAAAAGCCATTAAAAAGTGTTTTTCTTTCCATGAGTGTTAGAAATGAATTATTGATTTGTTAGTTTTCTGTTGACTCAACAGCCCAACAATACTTGTATCTTGAAAAGCCAATTTTATTTTATTTATGTTATTATGTAAATTACCTTGAATATATATTTTTGTATGTGTTTCAAATGAAAATCAATAAAATCCCTGTGGAGGGAAAAATATGAAGAAAAAAAAAATTAAAAAGTGGCACCTTTTTGGATTTAAAATGGGCAATACATACGCCATTTGTGTCATTTTAGGTAAGGTGCGATACACCATATTAGGGTCCATTTCAGAGGTTGATGGACGCGGGTGGGTAGCACTTGTTTGTGAGAGTGACCCCCCCCCCCCCCCCCCCCACCTCCCCAATGCCGGACCAACCGTAGGTCACTGTGCATTGTAATAAGACTTTACAGATTTATGCGGTAGATGCTCTTTCATTTTAGTCTAAGAAAATAGAAGTCATACTCTTCAACGCTAATTATAATAGAATTCCATGATTACGCCAATTAAAAGGAATGCATGTGTCAGACGGTGTATGGGTACATTTAAAGAGACCGTCATAAGTATAAGTTCCCTCACATTCGATTGAAACACCAGTTAAATTTGATATACGCATTTCCCGCATGGGTTGTCGATAAACTCGTACTTACGACGATTTCGTGAAATGCTGCCAATGTTAACTTTTACTGGCTTCGCTGCAGATCGATCTCAAAAATGTATAGTCGATCCCAAATGCTTTCAAAATATCAACCTATAAGACGCTTTCAATACCAATGTGCGTCGTCGTTTGAAATATAAAAACAGTGCAAACTACTATACGATGCTCCATATCTTGCAAGTATGAATTCAAGAAATGTGATTATACTCTTAATATAATGGATTATTTCGACATCGAGAGAAGATATGAATGCATAGCGGTTTTAAGGAGAAGAAAGGGACAATTATAAACCATGTATATTGAAACGTTGAATAAAACGTTGCTCAAAATGCGAACACATCTTTATCAAATGACAACTCGATGTATTTTGAATAATTTAACAAATATAAAAACAAGAAAGAAAAGGAAAAAATACAGATAAAATGGATATTTTGATACAATCCAAAATTAAACTGTCCAACTTTAGTTTCTTTTGTAACAAATAAAGCATTGCATAATATATGTCTACTTCAAGCAGCGATGATTATGAGCAATACAGAAGCCTTTACAAAGATGCCCAAAGGGGATATTACAAACATTAAGTGGGTTATTAGGTGTCACATTTGTAGAATAGAGAAGTCTAAGGAGAGGCAAGTGCTAGCTTTAGAAAATCAATTGCAGTAACCATTCTGTTAAATTTGTTTTCGCCTTGCACAACAACAGAAACCTTGCAAGTGAGAAATAAGCGACTTATTTTTAAGTCTCTTTCTATCTGAAATTGACACCTGAGGGAAGAAAGGTGTGGGGAATTAGGAGACAATCATAAGGATGGGAAATGGTCCATTTCCTCTCATAACTTGGAAGCATTTGAACAAAAGTAACGATCTTGGTAGATTCGAACAAAACAGTAAATTTACGTTTAAGAAGAAAAAAAACAAGGATCACCAAAACGCGAATGTGTTCGCTCATCCGAAAAGCTGCACGAATTTGCGAAATTGAGTTTGCTGCCGCGCTAGCTCTCCCAGCGCAGCTCTCGCACCCATCATTTGCATAAAGTAGAAAACTCGGCGTGACGTACGCATTGCTTTTGACCAATCACACCAACTGATTTGTCGAAATGTCGCCATGACATCAATACCGGGTTTTTATTGGTGCAATAACTAGCCAATCGCTGGAGAGTATTCGCTACGCCCTGGATATCACAGCGTTGTGTCAGCATTTTGCTTCATCGAATAACCACGTGGGCTGTTCCTCATCAACACGATTCTCAATCTAATATGTGACAATTGTTTTCCTTAAATATAATTATGTGGACCATTTTAAAGGTAATTACATCAAGTTCACATCCATTTAAAGAAATAAAACTACATTCTTTGTCCGTCACTAAGTGTTTAATCTCATTAGTGTTAATCTTATGACAAGTAAAAACAACAACAACGAAATGCCGTAATGGATTGACGTAATTATTAAATAAAAGGGATCTTTTCATCACAAGATTGCTCTAAGATTAGTCGAGCGTAAGGTTCCAATAAGAAAATTGCAACAATAACATATTTAATTTATTTATCTGCGTTCAATGGATAGTCTACAAATAACCACGATGACACCCAATCTCTCTCTGTCTCTCTTCCTCCTCCTCCTCCTTCCTGTTCACCCTTCTCTCTATCTCTCTCTCTCTCTCTCTCTCTCTCTCTCTCTCTCTTTGTCGAAGTTGGAGCATTATGTCATTTACCATTCAACGTTGATTAACACATTCTGTACAAAAAATCGACGATTTTAGTGAGAAAAATGTCCACTTTAAAAAGTATTTACAGAGGATACTCAAGAGTATTCACACACAAAACTTTTCATATGATATACGATATTTATGTAACAGGAATACAGAACGTTAATGGAATTATAACTGAATTATAATTTATAACAGACCGATCCATCACTTCTGATGAATTTGTTAAAAGTGATCAAATTAATTGTAACTGATATTCAGTCAGTCCAAAATCATAAGATCTTCTTTCATGTTAAATACTTGTTACTTCCGTTATATTATGCTTAGTTGAATCAAAAGATTGTAAGAATGAATTTATTGTACCATTTACTACTATTTTGAATAATATTTCGACAGCTTAAAATCTAGGTACCTATCAAGTTAAGATAAGATTTCTTTTTACTCACCGCCTTTCTCGAAGAACGTCAAGAAAACAGAAAACGAACGATTATTTTAATCAATGACTCCGACTCCCAAGAAAAATGACAGTGGGCTTCAAAGGTGTTGCCTGTATTCAGGATAAAATTTGCGATGGAAAACTGGCGAGGTACCAAGCTGTGTCGGTCCCACCAAAGATCCAAATAACAAGTACCGAACCTGCTAGAAAGAACAAATCGTCTCTCCCCCTAAATATAGTTGGAGACAAAATATGGCTTCTTCCCAACGGCCTTCAATCAA